TACATTATACAAGGTCTGGCTATTAATTTCCAGGACTCATGGAATAACTCAGAAGAAAAAAAAGTTAAACACATAGCCATTTAATATTATTCGAAGTAATCCCCATCAGCCGTAATGCACGTCTGTGCTCGGCTGTACAAATTTCGGAAAGAAGTTTTAAAGTCCTCTTTTGGAATGCTCTTTATTAGTGACGTTACAGTTTTCGTGAAGGTTTCGACATCCTGAATTCTTGTTCCTATCAGTGAATTTTTCTGCTTAAGAAACAGGAAAAAGTGTGTGCTAGGTCTGGCGAGTATGGTGGATGCTGCGACTCAACGACACCATGCTGAGCTAAGAATAGCCTCACAGGCAAATGCAATGTGTGGACGCGAACTTTTTCAATTGCTTCCGGCTTGCGTACGAACTATGCGCGGATCATCTTCCACGCTTTCGCGTTCGAAAGCGTTTAAACCATTCAAAAGTTCTTGAGCGAGATAATGCTTCCTTGCCGTAAACTTGTTTTAACAATTTGTAGGTTTCTGCAGATGTCTTGCCCAATTTGAAGCAAAATTTAATGTTAATTCTTTGCTCCATTTCACTTCGACAACAGGAATTTAAGAGCTCCACTTTAATGCTCCTTTCCACGAGAACCACTCACTTCAAAAGTTTTTTATATACTTCTATAGTTACACTTATTTATATCTTACAGACAGCAGTGTAGTTTATTGACATTTGCTCGAGGAAAAAAAAAATAGAAATTCACCAAATCTTGAATGCCAGGAAAATGACATATTAGCTTAGAAGTTTAAAAAACGGTCATTTTAAGTTAATAGTAAGTAACTCAACTTAAGCCTTTATGTAAGATGGACCATAAATTAATTCTTTTTATCCACCGTTGAAAGAATCAAAAAATTTTTTGTTGCTGATATGTACAGAATAAAATAGTGTATAAAAATCAATCATTAAATAAATTTTTAACTTTGATCACTTCCAAACATATTACAAGGAACAAGGGACAATGAATTGTCATATTTCGTGAGAATCACCCATATATACTATATATATATATAAATACAAGAAAACATGAAGAAAGTTTACTGTTTTTTAAACTGTTGTTTGTTATTTTTTTACTTATTATTTCCCCCCCCCCTTTTTCATATGTCTATAATTTTTCTTTGTTTTATCTTCATTTTGATATATTTAAGATATATCTTGAATATTTAAGATATTTTCTTGATTGAGAATAGGAAAACTGGAATTCAGTGATACACAAAATTATCAATGAAAAAAAAAAAAAAATATTTTGAAAGAATTTACAATTTACCTGCTCTCCTCTAATATTAGGATTGTCTTTAATGCACGCATCTAAGCCAAATCTTTCATTTTGCTTGCGGAATTTTGTATCTATACAAAGATCAACAGCAACACTTCTAATCTGAAAAATAAAACAGAGGATCAATTCTTTATTTCAATGCTTGTAATTATTGTATCAACTTAAAATATTAAATTCATTATATCGGAATTAACTATGACTTTTATAAATGGGATTTTTAACTCCTTTCCGACTACTTAACTTCTTTATTCCGCTTAACCATATACGAGGGTTGTAAATTAAATAGTGGCAACTTAACCTTTAAACTCACAGAAGGACGGGCATGCGCAAATTAGATATGGGAGCTGTGAGGTGGGGCTGTTGTCGATGTGTAGAGTGCAAAAAAAGTCGATTAGCTTAGAAGGGTAGTTGTTGTGTGGCGTTAAAGTGAGGAGTTTCGTTTCCATCGCTCTAAAGCATGTTTTCAAAAGGTGATCAGCGGTCGTGGCTTACAATCGAGGTTGCTCGTGGCAAAAATGCAACAGAATGCTATCGAGGATTAGTGGAAGCCTTTGGAGCAAATGCTTTACCATATAGGACAGTATCACGATGGATTCAAGCATCTCGTCTTTTTTCGTCATTAAGCCTTTTCACAGTTGCGCGCCCTTTTGTGAGTTTCAAGGTTAAGCTATTTAATTTACAACCGTCGTATATAGTACGAAAACGTGAATAAAAACGGGCCATACTGAGTAACTTCTGATCTAGTGATCGGATCTTCACATGCAAGAACTAAATCTTAACGGTATAAGGAGATTACCTCAAACATGCTAATTAATACAGGCAATAATTTAAATTTTTATAAAAAAAATCGTATATTTAAAATCCAATTTTTCAGAAGCTATTTTGACTTCGTTCAGTCGTTCGTTTTGATTTCGTACCACCAATTTCATTCAAATTTTGTATTTTGTTATATGAAATTACATTCTTTAAAATGACAAACATATTAATACTTAACAATTTAAAATTTGCTTGAAATTTATTAAAAAAAAATTAATTATTGAAAACCATTTTTTACATGAAAATATCTTTGGATAAACGAATTTTACAATTGAGTGCAAAAAAATTTCGATTTGCTTTAAAAGTTTTCGAAGTATGGCGATATACGCAGAAAGTAAAATTATAATTGAAAGGCCCAAACTTTCAATCGCTTTTCTGACCAAATTATTGGGACCATAATTATGAGTTTGTTGCTACCCTCCATATTTTGAGGGTCAGGAATCCGTAGAAAAAAGCTAAGTTTATTCAGAGAAAGGAATCCATATAAAAAAAAAGCTAAGTTCATTCAGAGAAAGTACATTATTGTGTCTGATTTCGTTTCCTTCACCTTCATAAGTAATTTAAAATTTAAAGTATAAAGAAAATGAAGTCAGGTAAACCTAAAGTAAGATTCAAATGCTGAAAAAGAGTATTGAAATGCAAACTAATTATGAAATTATTACTTAATATTAAGCTGTGAAGTTCTCCAATGATCTGTTTGCAATTTGTTATTTTGAAAATTTTTTTTCATCATCCTTTGAAGGGGCTACGCAAGAAACTCTTCATGACAAAGTCTCTTTTGCACACATATGTAATTTAAAATTAACCATGAGGATTCATGGTAAACTTCATGGTTTCACTTAAATCATAAAGTTTCAAATTGTGAAGAAATGTTTTCAAAATATCAAAATGCAAACAAATCTTTGCAGAATTACGTATTGGGGAAGTAATTATTTGTATTTGTTTGCATTTTGTAGAAAAATTATTCATGGTTTTCTAAAAAAAAAAATGAAATATCTCTGCCAAAATATGAAAAAAATATCACAAAATATGAAAAAAATATCTTTAAAGCCTAAAAAAATTCCCTTAAATGATGGTTGACCGTGTACAGCTAATCGCAGATGGCGCTGGGAATCAAAATTCGTTGTAAGATTCGTCATTACTTCGACTGATTTTAAGGTCTAAGCTTGAAAAAAAAAAAAACGCGATCCAATATTATTATACTTAGTAGTGTTTTCAATCTAACTTTCAATGAAACAAACAACAAATGAATGACACCAAGCTTGCTATGATACTACCCATAATAAAACAAACCGAACTATTTTACAGAAGTGTATCGAAATAAGGGATGACACTCAAAACATGGCAAACCTTGCACTTTATGCGATATTAATTTTGTTCTAGTGTCACGACCTGTTACAATTTATACATTACAGTAAACTCTTATGAATGGTAAAATTACGCGTTAATTTAAACACAAATCACAATAATAAAACTTCCTAGCCTGTTCACACATCGTCTTATAAGCATACCATAAGCGGAGAGATACACCTGAAGTTTTCTAAATTTCTTCCTGTTCAATGTTTATATTCAGTCAACCATCCGTAGAGAAAGAAAAAAAAAACCTATAGAAAAATAGGAGGTTGATCGATACATCTAAAAAAAAGAAGGTCTCAGCAGGGGTTATCAAGAAATTTGATTCTTTAGTAGTCCACGGCACAGTTTATGTTCGGTACGTCGGACTACTAAAGTGATCCGCCTTCATTTTTCTAGGAGGGTTGATACGTCCATTATAATTAACAGATAAGTTGTTAACTTCATTAAGAAAATTAGAATTGTTAAAATACGTGAATACCTCTCCTTTGGCATAGTCGGGTGGTTCAATAGGAGGATATTTTTTCGGTTGATCGTAGGCCACCTTCTCTATAAACCATCGAAAAGGTTTACACTGCAGGGTTTTTCTCAGAGACTTTTGATCTGTTAAATTACCCGCGTCAATTTTTCTATAATGAGGTCTTCTTAAATACAAATATTCTTTATATTCATCCATCCACACTTCGGCCACTCGTTTATAATTCTGTTAAAACAAAAATGTAATTTAATAAAACATTTTATATAATTAATTTCTTTTAATGAAACCCCATCGCAATTGTCAGTTGCTGGACAGTGATGTTATTGTTTCAAGGGTGTCATCAGATTTAAAATTTCTAATTACAGAATGCTTATCTAAGGGATTTTAATGCAATTCTAGGAGTTGTTCTACTTTTATTGTAAAAAATATGATTGATACAATTAAGCAAAAAAAAAAAATTTTTTTTTTTTTTGAAACATGAAGGTACTCCGTTTCACAATAAACGACACATTTACAAGATATTAATAAAAATTGATAGAGGTATTTAAAGCTTATGGTTTATTTCTCTTTTAATAAATTGTAATCTTTATTACTCGTAATCCTGCCGAGTATCACAGGTTTACTACTTTTCATAAAAAAGACCTCGTTGAAAGAATATATTATTTCTATTTTTTCTCGGAGAAAGTAAACTATTAACTGTTAGAAATTTATCGAAAAAAATGGTTAAATAACAGTTTGCTATTTCATCATATTCAACCTAAACAGTCAAATAACCATGAAGAACATGGTATACAAACTGTTAACTATGAGAAAAATAGTTTGACTGCTTTCACCTTATACAGTTAAACAATCAGAATTTTATCCGCGTCAACTAAGCGCACAAAATCGACAATGAGAATCTTTCAAATGATCTTCGAAAGCTAGAAGCTAAGCATTGTGATAAAGAATTCATAATTTTATTTTCCGTCATTGGATGCTTAATAATCTTCTAGTTATAAGTGTATGGTGAACACCTAAAACTATTTATTTCCTTCAAAGCTGATAGTGTCGTGACCGGCTGAACGAAGGTTCAAATCCGGACGTTGACACAACAATATTTCTTCCATTCTTTCAACAGTTTCCCATGTCCCGCACTCCTAAATTGGTGAACTATTGAAATGCATTACTCTCATTCACGCATAGATGGCAGCACAACAGAGCTGCTTAACACAAACAGTCTAGTATTTCCCATCTTTCACGCTAGAAGGCAAACTAATTAAGCCACATACCAAAGGCAACTTAACTTCAACCTAATTCCATTGTCCATTACCTAACGGAAAGCTTAACATAACTTCAATCTGCAGTTAAATTTCATTTTAACGGTTTTGAAACAATTCTAACTGTAAATAATTAACAAAATTTTATATTCATGGCTTTCTAACCAAACCAGTTGTTAATGGTTTCAAACCCGTATAGGTAAAGAAACGTTCCTACCCGTAAATTTTACAATTAAGTGGATGAACTGACTGCTGTCGGTTATTTTACCGTAATTTTAGAATGAAAATTCATTGAAACAGTGTATCTTTAACTACCACATTCTTTCTCCGTAATAAAAAGTATTTTTTTTTTGTAAAATTTAAGAAAGATAGCTGTGTTAGAAATGCTAATCTGTTGTGGTTAGTCAATCAAAATCTCTAAAAAAAGGGGAAGAAATATCCTGGTAAGAATTTGGTTAGTCGTCCATCCCAAGGATTTGGGCCCTTGACTGTTACAATGCAATACAATACAATTTGACAACCACAATAAAATACAATAAATACAATTACAAAAACAAAAAAAAATAACAATGACATTAGAGTACAGATGATTTCGTTACAATAAAGACAGCTGACAAGAAGCATTGCCCAAAAGCATGATAAGAAGAACTCTTCGTAAGATGATTAAAAATGGTTAAAATGGTTAATGATGGTTAAAAATAATTAGAAAATCTATAATTGATAGCAAAAATACAATAAAATTAATTTGAAAAGTAATCAAATTTAAAAATAGGCGTATAAAGCAGCAATTAAAATCAAAATATACAGGGCAATTTAGGATCCAATAAATATAAACAAAGCACCAAAAATAAAAGCATCTGTACCCAAAATCAGTAAAAAGGGCAAACATAGGAATCTAAGCCAGAGTATAGGTATTTAAAGTCAGTAAAATCAAAGTCAAAAAAGCTAATTACAAATTTGAAATTTAATAATAGAATAGTCTAAGCAGCAGAGAGGTGTAGTCCAATATTAAATCTGATAAGTTAAAATACTTATGGGATGGTAAACAAGGGGACCATGAGGTCGTTTGGGGACATTATGTCTTCGACACAGTATTTAATGATATTTCTTGTTTTTGTCTCTCTGTTCTGCACCACGACCTCATGCCTCCCTGGTTTTTAAAAGTGATGCCACTGAGTGTTGTAAATTTATTGCATTCCGTTAGTAAATGTTTGATGGTTTGGCCGCAGTATTTGCAGCTTCATGTCTTCTTAAATAGTCTAGCTTGATGTACACCAAACACTCAGTGGCCTGTGTAAAAGAGATAGAAGTCACTTAAAAGTCTTAAAAATATTCTGGAGGACAATTATTTCATGAAATTCTTGGAGCTAATTCATAGCTTGGATTGAATTCATAGGAATTACACTGAGGAACAATTATTATTATTTTTTATTTATTTATTTATTTTTTTTTGGTTTTTCGTTGCATGAGATTTTTTTTAAACAGATATTAGATACTTTCAAATCTGCAACTGGTTTCTTTCTCCAAGCTACAGTTTTTTTAAAACTGAAATTTTTTAGTCTATTTTTTGTAAAAACGTTTAAAAACGTTATGTACAAACGTTAAGCTTAAAAACGTTTTCCATGACAGGAGGTCGCATAAATATTGCAACAAATTTCTACGGGAGTTAGGACGCATCATCAGGATTAAAATTTCATAGGAACCCATGCCAGGAAATGTCTTCGTACGCCACTAGGAGCTCTTCCTTTAAGTGAATTGTTTCCACCCTTGCTTCTGAGCAGATACTAATAAGGAAGTGCTCCTAGCCGAGTTCGACGACATTTCTGAACAAGGATTCCCGTGTAATTTTAATCCTAATTTTGTTGTCCTAACTCCTCTAGAAGTTTATCACAACATTTCAGCCACCCCTGTTATATATAACGTTTTTAAACTTCTACATTTCGACAAGAAAAAAATGACATTTACAAAGAATGTCATTTAAAAAGTGTCGCTCAGAAAAAAATTGTCATTTAAAAAAACTATCCTTTGAAGAGAGAAGCAGATTGCAGTGTTGAAATCAATGACGTAAAAGTACTCAAGATCTGTTAAAAAATCGGATTTAAAAAAAAGTCGTATATTTAAATTCGATTTCTGAGGAACTATTTAACCATTTTCGTTCAAATTTTGTATCCTGCCATGCAAAATTACATGCTTTTAAATGACGTAAAAAATCTTATTTTTTGCTATTAAAAATGTTTTCGACTATTATTTAATATTTTAATAAATAAAAAATAATGAATATTAAATAAAATTTATTTTTTACATTGAATTATATTTAGATAAACAAATTTCCTAATTGTGTGCAAAAATTTTCAATTCTCTTTCGAAATTCTCGAGATATGACGTAAAATTAACATTAAAGGGTCCAAATTTTGGATCGCTCTCCTGATCAATCTATGGGGACCATATTTCCCAGATTGCGACTACCCCCTATATTTTGTGGGACAGAAATCCGAATTTGTTGAAAAAAATTATGCTAATTCACAGAAAGTACGTTTTTGTGTTTGATTTCGTAACTTTAAATATCGTTTGCCCTATTTTAGCATATTTGAAGTCAACCCGTCGAACAACGAAGAATGAGTCCTAAAAAGTGAATATACAATCATTAGATCAAACGTTATTCAGCACGGTCCGTTTATTTTTTGGGCTCATTGCACAGTTCGACAAAAATTAGACTAAAAACGTTATTTAAAAAAAATCTATAACTTCAGGATTCGAAATCCCCATGCCCGAATCTGGCAAGATCAAGTATTTGTATAAATGCTACAAAAAGTTTATTCTTGAGTGTTATTAGCGCAGGTGAAGCGTTCTTTTCGAAACTAAATTCTTTTTCGTTGTTCAATGACCGACAAACTATAGTCCCTGGCCTAATTATTAGACGTACTGTGAAATTGTATGCAAAATTTTAATTATCAGGTGATACTATACAGCTTTATTGTTTTTACGAGGATGAAACCGGTTTCAGTTGTTTACGTTCGAGTATCAATTGGTTAAATTAGATGATATATAATATAAATTAGACGATTAAATAAATTAGACGCTATATAATATAAATATAGAATATTTATTATCTCAAGTATTATATTAGTATATTATAATAATTAGACCAAATTATTAGACACACTGTAATTTTTAAATAATTATATGTTTCGCACGAGTTTATATGCAATACTTTCATATTTAATCATACATGTAATGGGCAGGAGATTTTATTTAGATACTTTCTATTTGTATTTATTTTCAACGTATTTCATTACAATGTTAACAAATTGATACGTAGACAAGTGCAAACCGGTTTCATCCTCTTAAAAACAATAAACCTGATAATTAAGATTTTACATAGAATCTAATAGTGCGTCTAATAATTTGGCCACGGACTGTGTGTCTAAACTTAATACTATCGAAAACTTTAATATAATGCCAGTTTAAATATTTGAGCTTGATATCATGTTAAGAAAGAAAAAAACCCCCAGATAAAATAAGTTAAGGAAAGAAATATTGACGCTGCTAACTTACTCTTCCAACAAAATCTCCAAGTCCAGGATTAGGAAAAGGTGCAAATTTTCTATAAATGTGACCTACTCGAGAACAAGGCACATCAAACATTTGACCTCCACATTGCCATATTTTGAAAGAAAGTTCATATTGTTCCCCACCCCACACATCCAGACCTTTATCATAACCCCCAAGATTCCAAAAGAACATTCGATCAATTGCAAACAGTCCTCCAGCCATCACAGGACTTCTAAAAGAAAATACAATCTTATTTATAATAAGATAATAGAAAGAAGTAGGAACAAGTGTAGAAAACATAATTCTCGTCTCATTAAGTAGTAAAAACATGTACTAAAGTCTTTAATGATGCAGTAATGTTTGTTGTACAATTAGTATCTTCTTCTACTGAATATGAAACCCAAATATTCACACTTTTTCAAAATGTCCTATTAAAGCAACTAAAGAGCATGTTAGAGACTCTTAGATAGGGTACAAATTAACCTCTGTTCCATTCAGTTCATTTATTTTTAAAATAACAAAAACCATCCAATTGTTGTACCCTACCAGTAAGGTCAGGGGTTCCAGTTGTGATAATAGAATTTTTCCACTAATTTTCTTTTTTTTAAATGTTTATAACTACTTATTCAATTATTTTATTCAATTTTTTAAATTAAATAATTTAAATTTTTAAATTGTAATTTTTTAAAAAATAAATAAATTAATAGATATGTATTTTTTTAAATCATTAAAAATAAAATTTTTAAATAAAATAAAAGGATTATTAAAAAAAATTGTAATTTAAGATTAAAATGAAAGTTTCAAAAATTTTTTAAAATTATATATTTAAGTTAAGAGTTTTAAAAACTTCTGTTATTTAAAGTTTAAATTAAAATTTTTAAATTTTTTTAAAATAATCCATATATTTTAATTAAAAAGTAAAAAAATAAATATCTATTTTATGTTTTTTTAAAAATTATTTTTTTAAGAATTAATTAAACAATATAATTAAAATTAATTATTAATTTTAAAAAATTAATTAAAATTAATTAATTTTTTTTTAAAATTAATCAAAATTTATTTATTTTTAAAAAAAAATTAATTTAAATGAAAAAATAATAATTAATAAATTGAATAAAACCTATCGAATAGTAAACTTTTACAGAAAAGAAAATTTGAGTTCAACTGTCCCAGCTGGGATTGAAACCTCGGATATCTCTGATAAAAGGCAAACAGTCTAAAATTTATATCACGAATACACAACAGATGAAAAGTTTTTGTTAGTTTGAAAGTAAATTTACTCAAATTTTAATAGGGCATATTTTACCCTAATTGTACTCTATCCAATATTTTCAAACATGCTCTTCAATTTAAGCTTAATTTGTTTGAATTGAATATTTAGAGAGGCTTACTTCTCTGGTTAAGTATAATATACTCACTTTATTTTAAGGATATCAAAACGTTTAATACGGTGTCTATGAGGTGACCAAAGAAGTTAAGAAACTTTGAAGTCCATGCCCAAAATCTATAGTTACTTTTAAACATTTTTAGTCTAATTTTAACAGTTAGCAGAGGATATCACTTTTTTGTTTGTTTAAATAACCGTTGTTGAAGAGCCGACCCAATTTTGGGTTTACGACTACTAATGTTCAAATCCGTAGCCTTGCAATTTGAACACAATCCAGAAGACAAGCGAACTCCTGGATCAAGTATTGGGAGAAATTTGCCTTCGTGGAGGACTTTTTGAGGGAACTAACCCGCATTTGCGTTACATGGAGAGGAAAGCCACGAAAAACCTCCCACGGTTAGTCTGATGGCAAGGGAACTCTAACCCATGATCCGTCTACCACTAAGGATATTTCATGTTAGCACTGTGGTCGGTGCAAGATGGAGTCGGAGTTCATATCAACCAGCCATCGTTGGGATTTGAACCCGGTTCGCCTCATTGGAAGGCGAACGCTCTATCCTCTGAGCATCACTGCTCAAGATATCAATTTAGAGATTAGAGATTTAATAGTGGTAGTGGACTACCTTTCCGCACTATCACAAAAATATTCAAGATACTTCGGTTTTTTCGGCTCAACTATAATATTATCTGAAGTTTCTTAGGAATACATTAATAAAAATATTTTTATTAATTCACATTTTGTACAAGTATAAAACAAGCACAGATATATGTTTAAAGAATCTGGTTAAAATATTAACTAATATGCATGTCTCATGGGCGACATAGCCTAAATTAACTTCAAACGCTACGTACAAAAAGCTAATGTTGTAGTTAATTTGATAGGCAAATTAAAAAATTTTTTAAAAATAACTACATCACCTTTTTTAAAAAAAGTCTACCAAAAAGAATTATGCATATAAACTGTAGCAGCATAAAAATTGATTCCTTAAAATTCGAAGTCATGATTTGAAAATTAATAAAATTTTAATAATTTGATAATTCTTTTTACTGTAATGAAAACTAGCTACACTTAAAAAGTTAGGTACAGTAAGTCAGGGTTACTTGGATCCTAGAGTTACTTAAACCTGAATAAAAAAAACTATTTTAGTCCCTTCTGATGCGCTGGACTCACGTTCGTGAGAACGGGATTTGAATCCAGCCAGCCGAAGACTCCCCGTGTAGTAAATGACGACTGGTGCACATTAAATCAGTCGAGTCACAAAGTCTTCCATGTTCCTATTACAAATTATATCTGTAGGGGTACCGAATTGGAGATTGATAGTTCTCTGGTTCTGGTCGAAATTCAGATCTGTGGATGACTGAATCGATGTATGAATGGGTTCACCCTACAAACGGGTATGACATATGGGTGTGTCAGAAGCCGAATTCTTGGGCATAGATGGTGCCACTGTAAAACAATCACACCCACTCTGCCTCAATGACTGACAACAACATTACAACAACAATCGCTTCTGACATTTTTTTAGTGAAATAATGTATATAGTTCATTGTTTTTATGCAAGGTCCCAATACGCTGTAAGCTCCGGCCCAATCCACGTGGTTTTTGCCAGAGTTTAGAGAAGATGACATTAAGAGATCTATTGCATAGCGCTTGTCTTACGTTAATTGTAACATTTATTTTGTACTCCTTAGGGACACGGTAATTTGCAAAGAAATTTTCGCGCATGCGCTTTGCCGCTCAAACAGCATTACACTAAAAGGATACCATAACCTTTTGCAAAATAACCGATTTGTTCACTGTATTTTATGTTTAACAACTTCATTGTTCTATAATCTGAAATTTCTCTTTTTGAATCAAGTAAATGCATAGTTTTATTGGTTTATCAGTATTTTATGTGATTTTACTGTAAATTTTAAATTCTCTTTTTCTAAACCAATACCTTATGACCTAATACAAAAGATAACTAATACAATCCTCTGTATTAAATTTTGTTATGAATTTGTATCCTTTATATCTACATAAAAATACACCTGTTTTGGGTAAAATTCTTAGAATTTTTAATTTATACAAAATGCGTGTACTACTAATAAATCGTTTCTTTGGGACGTCATTTAAAAAACAAAAGATAGCCCAAGATTTTCTGAAGAAACTTCATTAAATTAATTGCTTTTTAGATTAGTATGACTTCACATAATCCAATTGAATGGCAACCCAATAATTATTTTTATGTATGCAAAAATATTCAAACAACTGTCATAAACCGAAAGCATAACTGGTAAAACTAAATACCAGGATACTTCTATATAATTTTAAAAGAAAATAAGAGGGCAATTCGGAACTTCGCTGTAAATAAGAAACCCTCATACTAGTAAATTCAGTAACAAATTCAGCACTTAGTAAATTCAACACATATTTTATTTACAACTAAGTAGTACACCTGTTTTCTATTTTTAAACAATGTCACCATCTACGGAATATAAAACTGAAAGACACCTTAATAACTTTTGCTCTAATAGTCATATTTTAACGAAGATGCATTGCACTCTTAATGTTTCATAGGCCAAACCAATAATGTGTTATACGGACTATATTTTAAGCTATGAAGGCAGACACAGAAACAAACTTTCCATGAAAAATAATACCTTTTTTTTAATGGATTCCTGGACTCTCAAAATAAGGAGGTAGCCAAGTTGGAAAATTTGATTCCAATGCTTTGGTAGTTTGGAATCCTTCTTGTTGATTTCAATTTTTACGCCATCTTTAAGAAGTCGCATTTTTAAATGTTATTTCTTAATAACTACTCAACCAATTCTTTTCAAATTTTGGATGTTATCATTTAAAATTACGTACATTTCAATTTGTATACGCAATTTAGAATTTTTAAATGAAAAATAATCGTTTTACACAGCAGTTTCTAAAGTGTGTTCCATGGAATAATGCTTGGGGGGTTTTGAAAGGGGGATTTTTAGGAGAATCAATAATAAAGGGGGGTACAAAGGTTCTGTAAGTTAGGATTTTTTTTTTAACCGGAGATAATTAAATTTATATACAATGAATGATCCATAATTTATTAAATTTTTCAGCTGTTTATTTGAACTTATTTGTGTCAAATGTTAATTAAAAAAAGAAGCTAAATTTGAAAAAAAAATTCTCTTTTCTATAGATTGAATAAATCGTGAAAAGGATATACCTTTATAAAAAAATTCAATTAGTTTTTTTCTTAGAGCTTTTGAATTTAAAATAGAATAACTAAATTCAAGAATAATAATTACATTCTTTTGATAACTAATCTCAGCTTTTGAAAACCCTAATTCAACTTATTTAATTTATTTTTAGCATATGCATGCATTAAAAACAGATTTATATTATTAAATATTTCCTTTTCTTTAAACTATATAATTTCAGAATAATTAGCTTTTTTGGTTTGCATATTCAAAGCTGCTAGCGAGCTTTTATATTTTTTTATAATGTCGGGATTCCGTTAAAAAAAAAAGCTTGATCCTTTAGGGATCCATAGTCAAAAAAAATTGGGAACCACTAGTTTAATAGTGTTTATGGGTCAAAATGTTCGATAGCTCTCTTGTCCAAATTATCAAGATCATATTTCTCAGCTTGCGGCTACCACTCATATTTTGAGAGTCAGAAATCCGTCGTAAAATTATTCAGGGAAGGTACTTTTCGTACGTCTGATTTCATAACTTTAAATATCATTTGCACTAATTATTTAGCTTACTTAAGATTAGACCCTCAAACTACTAAGATTGCATTTTTGTGCTTTAAAATGTTACCATTAGATCAATAATTATTAATGTTTTCTCTGATGATTTTGCGAACAGTTTATTGAAACACTTACTACAGAATCCTTGTCACTTCTGCATTAAAGACAGCTTTCTGTGATTTTAACCAACTTGTTGTAGAAATCCGAAGTTATTCATCGTTAGCAAAGTGCAAACCACTTTTTAACAACAAGAAGATGGTAATCAGAAGTTTCCGAGTAATCAGAAGTCCTTGAAAAGTCCCAACTGAATTGGCCTCAAAAGATTTTGTGCTTGCCGAGCACGATGAGAGTAAGCGTTATCAAGCAGTACTGCAGATGTCAGCAGGCTGTGAGGTTTGCTCTGGTTGGCTCTCTTTAATTTTCTCCAAGTGTTCTTCGTGCCTCACATTTGGTGGTATTTTTAATGAAAGCCTACATTTTGTGACGTTATAACTCACGCTGCAGAACGATATTTTATGTTATAACCGTCGTTGAACAGCAGACTCAATTTTTTGGGTTTACGACTACTAATGTTTAATTCCTTAGCCTTGTAATTTTGAACCCAATCCAGAAGACAAGGGAACTCTAGGATCAAGTATTGATCGAAATTTGCCTTCGTGGGGAACTTTTTGAAGGAACTAACCCGCATTTGAGCTACACGGAGAAGAAAACTAGAAAAACCTCCCACGGTTAGCCTGACAGCTAGGGGACTCTAACTCTACCACTGAGGATATTTTACTTCAGCACTGTGATTCGAACCCGGTTTACCTCATTGGAAGGCCCCATCACGGCTCGCAGTACGATATTCTGAATATCTTGAAGCTAACTGAATCCTAGATTGTTTGATATAACAATGTTAGTCCACATCAGAGTTTCTACTTTACTCTCGCGAATTCAAAATATGGAAAAAATCGATCTAAGTAAACCTGACCGCAATTTAAACACGTTATTTGTGCTAGAAAAAGTACCAAAAAAAAGAGGATTTGTAATAAAAATTACTTGAATGGATCAGCTGGATGTTTAAGGTCTTCAGGAAGCAAAGGTAATCTTTTATAGTAGAGCTCCCAATCAAAGGATCCTCGTGCTCCTTCATCTTGTGCACGATATGCCAAAGTTTCATAATCAATTACATCAATAAATGGACAGGCGACAGTTTTACGATTAATGGCTATAGGTTCTAAAAAGAAATATCCTCTTTAGAATAATTCGTAGATTAAATTGCATAATGTAAGGTTGCTATAAATTACAGTTTAAGTAACAATCATCTTAAAAGTCAAGCTTAATTTCTCATTCACATGAAATCTGACAGCAAGCACGTGACGTCACAAGAGGAATAAAAATCTGATTCAATACCTTCTAGCTTGATTTCAGGCAAGCATTGTTAGGCGAAAACAGCTTCGAGCCAGACTGAAATCCATGTGATGGTTGCCTTTTAGCATTATGAGCTTATTTTTCACCTGTCCTAATAACAAGAGGTACTTGACTTCAGGAATGTGCAAATTTGACAAGCTAATTTTGGGCAGGCAGAAGACTGCTTTAAGGAGCCTGTTCTCAGTTTTCTTGTAAATGGCCTTACCTCGTTTTTTCATTTTACGACAGGACACCGATCAAAATGGATGGTGACATGATGGAACAATTACATCGTTGTCGGATGGTTCGGTAAGCGCTTTTTCATTTTGACGATGTTTTCTTGAGTTGGAAAAAAAGAAATTACTACTGATCGTTATGAAAGTGGGAGAAGTTAAAATTATTTTCATAACAATTTTTCAAAACAAGCTATTTATTTTTTGAGAACACAAACTACGATACTGGTGCCATCTATGTTTTTAAAATGTGAATAACATTTGAAATTAATACGTAGACCATTTGAAATTGAAAAGAAGATTACTAGTAATTATTTTCTTCATAGTTTATGAATGGCAAAACTTGTAAAAAATAATTTATAACAACATGTTGCGCGTTTTTTAAAAATATTTTTGGACTTATCAAAAGTTTAAGGCATATTTCTTCGCATTTTGGATAATAAGATGCGTGTTAATTATTTGTTTTTTAAGCACCAGATCACAAGTAAAATATAAGACAAAGGGCAAACGCAAAAGTGAGATTTGATAATATATGTGGTTGCTCATCCGATATGTCATCCCCATAAACGATATATAGATGATATTGTATCTGTGAGTCCTTCTAAAATGTATTTTAAGAAATCCGGAATAGTCAGACGACTTTCGGGTTCGTTCCGTTGGTTTCGAGTCGTATAATGAAAGATCAGCCATACATTATGAATTATTTTAAAATATAATATAATAATATTATATAATAATGATATAAACATTCTTCGTAAGACTTCCGGGTTACAACTTCCGATTGATTTTTATGCCTAAACTTGAAAAAGGGCACCATCAAATATTATTATACTTGTAGTGTTTACTACAATATAATGTGTTTTTTAAACTTAAATTTCAACGAAACAAAGATAAGAATTTGGAAGACTCCGCAAGCATGCTATGCCATGCAACCCAAAAAAAAATTTACTATATTTTACATAAATATAGCCAAATAAGGGATAACACTCAAAACATGGCAAGCTTTACACTTTATTTATGTTATGATATTAATTTATCCGAAATTTGTTTTATGCTCAAAACTAGTTAGAATTACAGGAAACTCTTGTGAATGGTAAAATTACACTTAGATTTAAATCACAATAATAAAGAATATTAAGCACATCGCCTCGTAACATAAGCGGAGGGATACACCGGAAGTTTTCTAAATTTCTTCCTGTTTAATGTTTACATTCAGTCAACCATCCATGGAACTACCCGCAAAATTATGGAAAGATTGATCAAACAAAATACGTGAGGTATTACAAGATAAAACTGCTGCCACGGAAAAGCATTTTTATATTTCGAAAATATTACCATCTTGCATGTTCATTCTTATTAAAAAAAGTAATAAGAAATAAAATAATTGTTAAACTGGAGGTTTAATTGACTCATTTATTCATTTTAGACTACTTAATTTTGGGAGGCACTATATGAATTTTGAGAGCTTACCTATCAAAGGTGGTAACCAATCTATATTGACTTCAGTGTGTGAATCTAAAAAGACCAGAATATCACCAACAGCTTTTTTGGCACCCAATAATCTTGCTCGTATCAAACCTTCCCTTTTCTTTGCACGAATCACATGAATAATGGAGGAATGTTTCTTGACAAAAGAGTCTAATGGTGCTTTCAATTGAGCTGGAAAAACATTTATGTAAAGGCATAGTTTAAAATAATTCCATTTGAGCTTTGACCAATCCTACTTTTTTCAAACATCATAAACACTCGGTTGTAGTGGTCCCTTCTGAACCACCATTTAACTTAAGTTATTTCATACGCTTATAGTGAACAGCTAAGAAGTTGGTGGTTGATTTATAGTGGATTCGAAATTCAGGTCTTATTTATTCCTTCAAAATTGGAAATTATGTTTTTTTTTAATGTCATGCTAAATCTTACTCGAGCATACTCTTCGATTTCAAAGTGGGGTGAACACAGAGGTGTAATGTAAGTTAAAAGAGCGTAACAAGAAGTTTCTCGCCTTAATAATAAAACCACATGACTGGTCGGTGGTCAAACACCCCACAAGTAGGGAGGTTTGACCCAGTTTTTACGCTTGTGAAGAGATGATTAATAAAAGTGTAGATTATATTTTAGATTAAGAAAAAGAACCACAATAAACTATTAATTAATGTCCACTTAAAAATTTTATTGCCGTAAAAAAGTGGAAAAAAATTAAATAAAAATTGTAACAAGCGTACTTTTAAATAAGTTTCCAAGTAATTGTTTTTCGAAAGCTCTTTTGTGATATGAAATAAGTACTGAATAATGGATTACACTGGAGAATTTTTTCTTTTTTTTCATGCTGTATAAGATTTTATAATGGTTCTTAGATATTTTCAACGCCATTGATTTCAAATCTGTAATCGATTTCTTTCTCGAAGCTTTCTTAAAATGATATTTTTAGTCTATTTTTTGCCAAAATGTACGTGTTCGTTATATATAGCAGGGGGTTGCATAAATGTTGCGACTAACTTCTAAGGGAGCAAAGAATATACGTAGAGGAAGAAGACTAGCTTCCATAAACATAATGTAAACCAGTTCCCCAAGGATTGGTGCTACCCCTGTGTATAAAGAAAAAAAACAACATTTAGGGGCACTGCAGCTGAAGTTTTCGAAACGGGTTTACACCTTCCCCTCCTCCCAAACACTACCGGGGTTACGGAGAAGTAGAAAAGTTTTCTATTTATTATTAGTTTACCCTGCATTTTTATGCTATTGTATTACAAATTAAGATATTTCTTTGAGAATATCATCCCTGTTGTCTACAAACACATGTTGACATAGAATAAATAAGGAACCATATTTGTCCAACAACCGGTTCACAGGTGACGTACCTCCTGACTCTCACATAGCTTCTTTTGTGCATACACTGGATCTTTGAACATAGGATGCTCAGCTAAATCTGAGTATGTTGCTCAACCTGTATGTTGCAGTTCCTCGCGTTAGTTATGTATTCGAAGAGCTGGACTTCTCCTTTCTATATTCTTTGTTTAGGGCACATCAAAATTAGAATTGCGTAGGAGAACATACCCGGAAATGTCGGTGCTTCCCTATTATGAACTGTTTTTTCGTGTGCTTATGAACGGGTTATAATAGGAAATAGCTCCTAGCCACATACAAAGACATTTTTGGGCATGGGTTCCTATGCAATTTTACTCCCCTAGAAGTTTATGCTATCCGCTGTTATATATAACTTTTTTAAACTCCATATTTCATCAAAAAAGTCTAAAAAGTTTCATTAAAAAAATCTGTATCTTTAGAAGGAAAATTACTTTCAGATTTGAAATCCCAACACCCGAATCAGGCAAGATCAAATATTTGTATAATGCGACAAAAAATTTGTTCCCCGGTGTTATTTTTAATACTGAATTTTTAACGACTAAGAAAATGGCACAAATTTTAATTAAGAAGAAAAAAACATAGTTTTTTAAGAACGTTGTGTGATTTAATGTTTAAATATTTGAAAAGTCACTTGAACATTGCATTGTCTGCATTGAATTGCAAAAATGCGTCCATTTGAGATGTGTTCGCATTTTGAGAAGTGTTCATTTTCATAAATGCTCATTTTGAGCAGTTTCCATTTTTGAACCAGATTAAAAACCTCACCAAAGTAATTTTGATTGATAGCGTATAAAAATATTTGCTTACTGTATCACATTTAAAAGAATGACATACCTTTAGTACTGAAATCATCAACCAGAATTATTTCTTGAATGATTTGTACTGGTGATCGATTCAAGACACTTGTTACAGTTCGGAGAAGTGTTGACCAGTGTTCATTATGAAAGGGAATCACTAGACTAACTTTAGGTAAGATTGACAAATAGAGTTTGGTTTTACAACTGGAAGAAAAATTAATTATCAATTTACTCTTCTTTTAGGCAAATAAAATGATCAATATTTTCAAATTATTGAACACTACAAAATAAACAATCAGGGTGATTCATAAAAGATTAGTAAAATTTAGAGGGAAGGTATTATTGCGTAGCAACCCATGACTGAGTCAGAAAAGGTGTTTTCATGAAAGCAGTGAGTCTCGGTGGAATTGGATTAATGTTCCTCCGGAAAAAAAAATCTTCAAAAGTCATTAAATCAAAAACTAAATATGGCACACAGGTCATATAATTATCATTTACATAAATTATCCTATTATTTAATGTTAGTTTTGCGTTTTCTAGTAATTGAGGAAAATAGCATTTCCAAAAATAGCTTTTTTATCGTAATTTATTGATTTGGCGATAATTTTGTACAATTACCAATTTTGTACATTAATATTTGGTATATTAAATAATCAAATCGAAAATTAAGGACATACATATAAAATAGTTAAATCTACCATACACCAAATATTATAAACTGATTTATAATTTCTTAATTATCAATATCGGCTAGTCTTATCTTTAACATCGCGAGAATCACGGGCATCTGAATTTTTCCTTCTTTTCTTTTTTTTTAGTGGGGAGAGAAATAAAATACATAGTTACAATAGTTCTCTAAGCTTTACAAATAAAAGAAATCAAAAACCATTCTGAAAAAAGAATATTTTTTTTTATTGCTTTGTTGCTAGGTACATGTTTTTAACTTTATACTGAATTAAAATCAATGATGATCTAATCAATTGTAATTTTGAACCCAATCCAGAAGAAAAGGGAACTCTTGGATCAAACAGTTTGACAAACAGCCTTCGAGGAGGATTTTTTGATGGAACTAACCCTCATTGGCGTTACATAGAAAGGAAACCCACGGAAACCTTCCACTGTTACCCCTACGGCAAAAGATTCTAACCCGTCTACCAGTAAGGATACTTTATGTCTGCACTGTGATCAGTGAAAGCCGGGAGCAGAATTCGTGTCAACCAGCCACCACTGGGGTTTCGAACCTGGATCGTCTAATGCTCTATTCTCCGAGCCACAGCAGCTCAATAATTATATTTTATTTTATAATCAGCATTGAACAGTCGACCAAATTCTGAGTTAACGACAATTAATGTTCAACTCTTTAGCCTAATGATTTTCAATCAATTCGGAAGACAAAGGAACTCCTGAATCAAGTATTGGAACAACTAATCTTCGTGGAGAGCTTTTTGATGGACTTAACCTGCATTTGTGTTACATGGAGAGGAAAATCACGAAATTCTCCTTAGGTTAGCACGACGGGAAGGGGAAATAATGGTTTTAATAATGTTTTATTTAATAACCGCAGTTGAACAGCCGACCCAATTTTGGATTTACGTCTACTAATGTTTCAGGGAAACATTTCCCACTAATGACTTTAATTGTTTGAAATTATCAAAATTTTGACTTAATTTGACATCTAGTCTAGAATATTAATTTTTTTTTTACATTTTCAAGTCCGTAGTATAGCTTTAAATGCAATTTACTAAAATGCATGTTCAATACATTTCAATAATTTTCATTGGAGAAAAGTTTGATTGACAAATTATTTTAAATTTGCGAAAATGGAAAAAATTTCAGCATCTTTTTTTTCTTCAAAATGGCTTAAAAACGTTTAAAAAAAAGTTTTAAACAATTTTACAAAAATTATGCGTCGATTTGTTAATGAGTTATAAAACGACATTATTTAATAATAAAATTCTGAAAAACTATATTCTAGTTTTAATAGAATAGTATGTAGTTAATAATAGCTTAATAAAGTCTAATATTCCATACCTTGGATGTCTGATATCTGGAAGAGTTCTGTTTAAAGAAATGAAATCACTAACAAGAGCATTGAAACCATTCTCTTTATACAGTTCATGTTTGAATTTTTCAAATCCTGATGGTAAATAAAAAGGAAGACCTTGTTCTCCTGGGCCGTGAGGGATTTCTTTAACATCATACCATGATTTTTTGAGAGGATCCTAAATTAAGAATAAAACTGTGTATTAAATAATGATAGTTGAAGCTGAAATTACACGCAAGCACATTAAACAATTTACACACACATGATTAAGTAATAGTACTTTATTAACGTGGTGCTAGAACTGCGAAGTCAAGCACTTTACTGTATAACAGTTTAACGAGCACCGATAACTAAGCTGATCAGCGTCCTCAGAAATATAAAAAATGAAGAGTATAATTTCTAAACTGATAATTGAGAACTCACTTCTCAAATTTAACATTCTGAAAACAGAAATCCCTTGCAGAGATTCTCTAGGAGAAATGATTTATTTTTAATAAATTATTTAGCCCTGCAGTGAACTGATCGTGAAGACACGGTTCCCAGTAGAACACCGAAGTCAAGCATCACTGACTGCTGTCGTTGTTGTAGTTAATTTACGTTGCACTAGAGCTGCACAATGGGCTATTGGCGACGGTCGGGGAAACACCCCTGAGGATGATCCGAACACAATTTTGATCCTCTGCAGAGGGGATGGCACCCCCGCTTCGGTAGCCCGAAGACCTGCACGTGAAGTCGAGCACTTTACGGTACGAGGACCAATACCGCACACCCTCGGTCCCTACGTAGACTGATTCGAGTGGTCACCCACCCGCACACTGACCGTAGCCAGTGTTGCTTGACATCGGTGATCTGCTGGGAACCGTGTCTTAACGATCAGTTCACTGCGGGATCACTGACTGCTGTCAGTTAGCGGGTAGTTGGTCACTTTGATCAGCCTGCGTAGGGATCGAGGGTGAGCGTTATCGGTCCTCGTTAAACAGTTCTACCGTGAAGTGCTCCACTTCACTCGCAGGTCATCGGGCTACAAAAGAACAGGAGACACCCCCTCTGCAGAGGATCAAAATTGCGATGGCATCATTGATGTTTCCCAGACAGTCATCAATAGCCCACTCTGCAGCTCTAGTACGACGTAAATAAAATACCACCTACAAAGCACTGAGATCACCCATTTAAAGTTAAATGCGTCCTTTCATTACTTCACTGTTTTCTCCATCAGGGTCATTAAAATTAAATTTCTAATCACAAATTTATTGTTCTCTAAGTATTCAAATAAATTTTATGTAAAATTTACATTATTTACTCTGCACGCATGCTGGATTACAGAGTACCCAAAAGTCCACTAAAAATATTCAAGTGGTAGCAAACTACTCATTAAAACAATTTAAAGTTTTCCGAAGTTCGCAGCCACTTTAATTTTAGATAATATGCATTTAGCATGTATCAGACTTCTATACATGTAATAATAAGTTTAAATATTTGTGGTGATAAAGAAAAATTAATGATCAATTTCCGAAAAATGGGAAATATATTTTATTGTAAAAATTTTGCAACCACTTTATTAATTTTGGCTGACCTTTGGGAGCCCTTCTATTACAAGGAATGTATCTAAAGTATCATATGCTATTTACAACGATAATTTGCATGGTGTAATTAAAAATATTTTTACTATCATAGCTAATTGGTATTCATTTTAAATTGTCACAAAATTTAACGTTCGTTGCATAAAAATGTCAATTTCGATTATTATATAATGCAGTTTATGATGATGCAGTTTATGATAATGCAGAGTTATGATAATACAGCTTATATAAAATTGACAATACATCTCAGCAAATCCGTTCTTCAGAGTTTCGAATACTAAATTACAGTACAGTGAAACCTGTTTTAGATGTTTCAGTATTTTGTATTCTCGTTACTATTTTCTTTCCTATTTCTAGAATCAAAACTTACCTTTACAAGAAATTTTTCCCTATTTCTCAGTTAGTTTTCAGACTGCCAAATTTCATTCTAAAGCATGGAAAATCGTCTGAAATTATATAGAAGTGTTTCGAAACAATACTCGTTGTGGCCTGAATATTCTCGGAAAAAGCTTTAGATGGTCATTAGTATGAATTAAGTTTTTTTCTTTTCACCTGTTTTTGAAAAATGTGTCTCGGAAAAAGAATGAACCGGGACAGACGATTAGAAAGCTATGGTATAGTAGACGTTTTGTGGTACGTACTTAATGTTTAAACAAAATAATATTCAATGAAAATAGTTTAATATGTTAATGATTGCGAAAAAGAACTTATGTATATGAATCATGAGTTATTAGAAAATATAGCTTACTCAGAAAGTTTTTTTCTTTCCCCTGAAAAACTTAAAAGGGTTTTAATTTACTTCGAAAAAGTCATTGCTGAGTTATCAAGCACATTTCGAAATTTTAATTATGAGAAGATAAAATTTTGTGCATCTTCTACAGATTTAAAGCTGTCATATACAAATCATGATTGGATTTAAAGTGATTTTAAATTCACCCTCTTTCTGTCCCTTAAAAAAAAAAACTCTAACATTGTAGAATAATACCACGCATTTTTACAACTCACTCGTATTAAATGTAAAATTTAGTGAGTATAACCTAGATGGCACATTTTATGATTCTACCAATTTTTTAATGTGTCAGAGTATTGACTATTAAAAATAAAATTTGAACTTTATTTATAGTTTTTCAGTTTAAATATTTTCAGCTTGCACGCAAAAAATTTCTAAAAGTAATCCCGGAGCAAAATTTAGCTACGGTTTGAATATGAAAATATCAATTTTAAAATTTTATTTCTAACCGATTGTAAAAGTTATATTTTCTAATCTCTGGAATTTTAGAATAAAATTTTATTATTTTAAATAAAATTAAAATTTTAGTAGTTAATATTGCATTATTAAATATTTAAATTCTTAGTCTCTTGAGTTTACAATTAAGGATTGGTCTGTAAAAATCCCACTTTACATTTTATTAAAGGGCAAAGTCTCTGACTTCAGCTTCTGGGTGCAGCATTTGGAGCTGTGCAGTTTCGTAAAAACGCATTATGAGCTGTCCATTTTCGATAATATTTATTTTGAGCTGTCCATTTCGTTAACACTTATTTTGTGCTGTCCATTTAGTTAACACTTATTTTGAGCTGTCCATTTTGTTAACACGCATTAAGCTGTAAACTTTCGAAAACAAGCATTTTGAGCGAGATGTCCATTTTCGAAAACACACATTTTGAGCTGTCTACTTTAGTAAATGCGCATTTTGAGCTGTCTACCTTCGTAAATAAGCGTGTTAAGTTGTCTACCTTGTTAAACAAGCATGTTGAGTTATCTACCTTCTTAAACAAGCATGTTGAGTTGTCTACCTTCTTAAACAAGCATGTTGAGTTGTCAATTTTTGCAAACATGCATTTTGAGCTGCCCATTTTTGTAAACATTTCGTGCCGATGGGACCAGGTTCAAATACTCACTTTTTATAATTGTAATTTTTAACACTTTCGTTATTCAAGCTTTCATCGAGTTTCGTAAACCAAGTTATATTTTATTATTGCTAGCTTCTCAAATTCTCCTGTAATAAAATTTCTGAAATTTTACAAATATATGGTTAGTTACATTGAGTTTAAATGTTTTTAATTGGTAGCTATTTTCATCATTTAAATAATCTTCCCGCATATTTTTTGAATTAATATTAATTTGATTTCCAGTATGTTGTAAAACATAAATTTAATGTATATTTTTAAAACAACATTAAAATAAAAATTTAAATAAAAACTGAGGATAAAAAAATTTAAATAAAAACAATAGGAAGTGAAATAATATCAAATGTTTCAATTCACCATAAATATATAAATATTAAGAATAAATTTAATATGAGAAAAACACACTTACTTTTATTTGAGGCAAGATAGAAGGATTAACAAGTTCTATTGGTGTCCTTACAGTTTTAAGAAAAAATACACCACAAAATACACAGATTGTCAAAATAAATTTTAAGACTTTTGTTCTATAACGACGAGCCATTTTTATAGAGTATACTCACTCTAGCATAATGTTTACTTTATCACCAATTTTTTTTCCTCACAAAATTCAATTCGCAATATCATGATGATTTTGACTCTAGAAAAAATTTTAATTAAAAATTTAAACATAATACCACTTGTCAAATAATCTTTATACTATAACTACATTCCCTCGTTCTTTTTGTCATTTTGAATGAACCTGAAATTAAAGTAAGAGGCATTGTTAGGCTACAAGACACAATTAAACAAATAATTTTTAAAAAAAATCTTATTTATTCTTTTAAATTTTCCATACATATTGTTCACAACATTCGTTTTTAATGCATTTTCATTGCTATTTTGTTTCCCCTTAATTTAACCTTTTCAATGACCGTCAGACTGAGATGGAAGCGTTTCTCCTGACCATACGTACTAATACGAGAATATTCTATTAAGATTATGTCCATGTGATGTTGGGACGTTAGAGTGAGAGCCGTGATGTCAGAGATTGTTAACACGTTAATTGCCACTTCAGACGGAGATTTCCTTAAAATATGCGTGTTTATTCTGATTATGTATCTGTTTCTCTGAGTCTTGGAGGCAAGGCCACTATCATTTAGCCACTTATATTTGGCAATAGATGTTGAGGACAAATTTACCAATTTTATAGCTTTGTGCATACGGATTTTATTACCTTCAATACACGTACATTTTATTACATTCACTACCCTATATCAGAAACGTTATAGACATAAAATGTTCGCAAACATTCGAAAAATAAGTGTCATAGCCGTAATGAAGTAAATCTGTCCTTTTCATTGGGCCAGTAAGTTTCTATGAAAAGGCTGGTAGAAATGAAGTATCAACTAGATGAAAGTCAACAAAACGTTATGAACTCGTGTTTTTTGGGAGCATAATTACTCCATATTTTTCGAGCAACATCTAATGTTTCCAGATTCTTAGTGTGGGTGCAGAGTTTTAAGAGAACTAAATTAGATTATCTAACTAGAAAATTTTGAATGAAGAACAAAATCAAGATAATTCATCAGAACGCTATCAAATGGGTAAAAATAGGAAGCTTTTCTGGTAATGAAAGATGGAGTGTCAATCGATGAAGCTATGTTTGAGCTTAACTCATGTAATTCAATTTTCCAAGCAGAAGCTATTGAAATACATGAAGCCATAAAATTCACAATACAAAGAAAAGTAAAAGCTGCGGTTTGGAGTGATAGTATTTCGAGTTTACTAGCTATAGCCATCTACAGCAACAGTAACCCGACGCAATCGGCGTTTTCCAAAACAAATACCACCAAATTGCAGTGGGTATAAACACATGCAGGAACCACGCGAAATGAGTTGACGAACTAGCTAAAGAAAAATCGAAATCAGCAGACTCAATCGTTTCAGTTAAGTCCCCCCCCCCAATCATTATGTTAATAAAGTTCTCCGGCTAACAACAAAGGTAAAGTGGCAAGAAATATAGAGTAAAGAAAAATACGACAAATTGGTGCACCAGATCATCCCCACAATGGGGTACAAATGGCCACGTGAAATACTGCAGTTCATTACGGATGTCATATCCTTTCCGTAGATAACCTCATCGTTTTGGAATCAGAGCACAGACTTACGTGCCTACGAAAAGACTGGAACACCCATCCACTAAGCAACGGAATATCCATTGACTACATCAAACCATCCGAATTTCCATCAAAGGCTTTAATTATGCGAAAAAATCCCTAATCAAAACAAAGACAATCACGAATTAAGCTAGAAACTTCATAAACCTTACTGCAAACAACGAAAATCTTCTTGATTATGAGGATTAGGTAACTAAAAGTCTTTCAATATATAGTATACCATTTTTATCATGATGGAGAACTAAAACACTCATTGGTTATTTTAATTTTCAAACAGCAACAAATTACATTGAAACAGTTTTGATTCAAGTTTAAATCTCATCATAACCAAATCATGTTTTCTTTTTGTTCAAAATACTGCATCCATATTAAATATTATGTTTTGATCCATCTGTCAATCCCTAATCTTATTTAAAAAAAAACTCTTATTGAATGAAAAATAACATTTTCATTTCTTAATTTTTAACAGTATTATAATTAATATTGTTAAAAATTGTGTGCTACTGAACATGTTACTTTTAAGGTTGCACATTTGTATTGTATAAATTATGTAAATATTAAACTTATATAAATAAACATTTATGTAAACTTATAGTATTAATCAAGAGAACATTCTTCATTTTTCATGCTAGTATGCTTCTACTATACATAATACTGTATATAAGCATTGCATGTAAACTTGAAATGTTTTTCAATAAGATAGTCTAAGTAATCATTATATTTCATCTACTCTATATTTTCCTGTATTCATGTTGTATAGTCTCATCATTTAATGTCTTGAAATAATTTTAGGAATTGCTTCTGGATATTTTTATGTCTATAAAGTGCTAGCATACATTGCAATACAATATCGCTGCTTTCCGCTTCAATTCTTAAAATTAAATGAAAGCCAACGATGTTTTTGTAGTATTAGCGTTGAAAATTTACGTTAAGTATCACATTTACAAACACGTATTTTACTATGATTACTAATTCTATCAAAGAAACCTTATTTTTCATATTTAGTCTGATCCTATACGAGATAGCGTTACTGTCTTGTATAGGATCAGCTTAATGTCAATCATAATATCAAATCAATCATCTTTATGTATCTACTTTAATGTTCCCATATCTTCATGTTGTATTCACTTTATTTTATACATTTATACCACGCATTATCCATTGAATGCAATAATTGTTTCTTATCCCATGTTATATGTAAAATCATAATATAGCCGTATTGTAATTTTTACCTTCAAATAAAGTTTCTGGGTACAGCTGTTGGTTAATAGGGTCCAAAAGGATCGATTTCAGGGGAGTGAGTGGGTGTTATTATTATTATTGCAAAAATAATTATGCTGAGAAAATTTCGCCGAAAATTGATTTATTATATCAAGTTTTTAATGAGTGAAAGAAATTATTTTGTTTAAATTAGCAAAGTTTGAATGTGTTCAGCTTTTTCAGACTAGGACAATTCTATGTGTTAGTCTATGTGTCAATGTCAATGGTGATAACTCTATGTGTCAACGGTGATAATACGCAGTGCGAAAAAAACACCCTAAATAAATTTTGTTCTATTGATCGGTTAGTGAAGACAATATTTTAAGTTACGAAATGAGACACAAAACTGTCCTTTCCCTGACTAAAAATATCTTATCTTCAACCGATTTAGATTTCTGATCAACCCTCAAAATAAGGGGGAAGGTAGCAAGAATCTCAGAAAAGCGGTTGAAACTTTGAATCCCTTAACTTCTCACGTATTTCGCTATATCTCGAGAGCTTTTTAAACGAATTGAAAACTTTTTGCTGCCCAATTTTTGTTTATCAAACTATAATTCCTTGCAAGAAATAATTTTTACTAATTATTATGTTTTATTATTTAATAATAGTCTAAAACATTTTGAATTGTAAGGTATACTAATTTTACATCATTTTACAGAATGTAATTTTCTATGGCAAAATATGAAATTTGAGCATAATCGGTCGCTTAGTTCCTAAAAAATCGAATTTTAAATATGACTTTCATAATCTTTGATTTCTCCAGAACCATTCAACCAATATTGTCCTAGTACGTGAAAATCCGATCTTTAGATCAAAAGTTATTCAAGATGTTTTTTCTTGTGTACAGTACATAAAGCTCCATGTTTCTTTAAAATAATGGTTGTTGAAGAAAATGATGGAAACTTTAGATGCAAATAATTTTACATTTCTGATGGTTTTAAAATAAATGGTCTTAGACAGGTTTGAAAGATCTATATGATTTTTTCCTTCTATTTAATAATGTAATAAAAAATAAGGTTTTTCCTCACAATTTTATGAAAAATGAGCTGTCCTATAGAGATAATAAATTAAACAGAAAAATATATTAAATGAATTATGAAATAAAAAAAATTTATTTTTTTAAAGCTCTTTAAAAATTCCGAAACTTTTTTTAAATTCCAAATCTTGTTTTATTCCGAAACTTGAAGTGTTGATCGTAAAATGTAAAAGTTTTTCTGGAAATAATATTTGTATAATTTCTTACTGAATATAATTACGATTCATCAATATTAAATTCCTCCAAGTTTTTATACTGCAAAAATTTCTACTAAAAATATTTAACATAATTTTTTTTCCATTTAATTTGATCGAAAATATTGTTCGATCAAATTAAATAGAACCAATACTTTGAAATAGAAAATCCGCTGCCTTCCTTTCGACGACGGCTTAAAGTATAATTATATTGGGAAGAAAATGTATATTTAAGGAGAGCATAGATTTTCCTTCCTTTCTTTATTGAAGATATGGGCACCACTAAAAGATTTATTATGTATAATAAGTAGAGCCCAGATATTTTAAAATCTAAAAAACTCTATAAATGTTCTTAAGAAAGCCACAGTGCTGACATGAAGTATAATCAGTGGTAGACTGATCACGGGTTAGTTCCCTTGCCGTTAGGCTAACCGTGAGAGGCTCTCATGGTCTTCCTCTCCATGTAACGCAAATGTGAGCTAGTTCCATCAAAAAGTCAATCACGAAGACAAAATTTCTCCCAATACTTGATCCAGAAGTTTCCTTGTCTTCTGGATTGGGTTCAGAATTACAAGCCTAGATATTAAAATTGCATTAAGCGTTTTTTTTTTTTTTTTTTNTTATTTTTTTTTTTTTTTTTTTTTTTTTTTTTTTTTTTTTTTTTTTTTTGATAATCTGAAATGTAAATGAGCGTATCTTATCTGAAAATAAATTTCTAAATCTGGTGAAACTTCTTTCAACTTCCACTAATGTGATTGATGCGTACTTGAAAATAAGAAGAAAAAAAAGGTAAAGAAATTATAAAAAATGGAAAAAAGGAATTCCCCCAAAATCATAAAAAATGCTCGTAAAAGCAAATAATTTTCAATCTAAAAAAAAAACTGCTTTAAGAGGGGAAAAATGAACAAAAATGCAAAAAAAAAATTATAATTTGGAGTTTGTAATAAAACTTTGTAATATTTTTATGAGCTTCAGTATAGGGGGTCAAAATACTAGCCGGTAGCCAGTTAACATTGGTCTCTTTTTAAACATGTGGTCTCTTCTTCAAAAATTGGACATTAAAAAATACTGCTGATATTGTTAATTTAAGTAATTTCTTTCGAAGTATTTCTCAAATTATAGTAGGATAAAATGAGAAAATAAATATTTTAAGAAAAAAAAAGCACGAAACAAAGTAATTTCAGAATATTATGAAATATTCATAATAATTCTATCATTAAAAAAAAAACAATGCACATGAGGTACATTTTTGGCGAAAAATGTGGCGAGCGATTGGCAACTTGCAGGCAATTTTTTAATCGCCATTCGCTGTGTCTAGTCGCCGTGCGAACTGCGGAGGCCGTTAATTTTGCCCTATTCCCTCTAGTTTTTAAGTTCGTTGCCATATTAGCAAAAATTATTTAATAATATACTTAAATATTTGGGTACGCATTCGATTCATTATGTTAAAAAATCATACGCTACTTGAAATTAATAAAAAGAAAACAGAATTTTTGGTTTCAAATAAAATTTATTGCAACAATTAACTAAACATTCTAAGCGTGTTAAATATAATAATTGCTTCAACAATTAGTGATGCAAAAAATCAGCGTTTTGAAAGACTATAAAAACCTGTAGTTTCGGGGAATAAACCTAGTATTATTGAAAATGTTGGAAATTTTGATAGTTAGCAAACCCGACCTATTTCCAATATGAATTAAGAGATTAATGTCTGCTATATAACCGCTATAATATAAGAAAGTCATCTGAGCAGATTGATATACTTCAATTTAATTACAATAATTTTCAAAGAAAATTTTCTTTCGAAACTTTTCACTCAAAAAATGTTTCATTAACAGTCTATTTTAAATGTATTTCTAACGTTATAAATTAATTAAAACATTAATGAATATAATTAGATTGAAACTGAATGTCTTTCAGCTAAAAATATATATGTAACTAAAAAGTGAATTTCATATTTTTATAAATTGTTAACCAAAGATCATTTAGAAAAAGCGGAATGTAAATTTTTAAAACGTACTCACAAAGACTAAGTAAAAAGTTTATAAATTATTAATCATTATGCTTATTGCTAAAGGGCTTCTCCTACTTCTGCTAAGAAATACAATTGCCAATTTAAATAGTTGGAAAAAAAATATCAGTTCTTAAAATTTCTTTTCCAAAAGCGTGTTTTTTTTTTCACCAATTGACTTTATCAATAGCCTATACTAAAATGTTAAATTTAATACACGCTGAAAGTTCTTTGTACAATTTGAACGTTATGAAATTAAAACTATACATAAAAACTTCAAAAAAAAGTGCCTATGACAGTTATGAGCACTATACTGAAAAAATTTCAGTTAAACAATTTTAATTTTTCCATAAGCTACACTGAATGGCTTCCCAACAAAATTACAAATTAATTATAATATTTAAATTTTATTGCGGTGAAATCATTGCATTCGAATAAAAAAAACTTCATCGAATAGATATAAAATATCACAATAATTATGAAATTATGCATAAGGCATTATATTTTTATAATTTTCGGATCAAATGATTTGTAAGAAGTGATTCGAATGAAATGATTCTGATCACTATTTGGATCAAATATCTCAGATCACTGATTCGAAACAAATATTTCTGACCACTGATTCGAAACAAATGATTTGCAAGAAGTGATTCGAATCATGTGATTCAGGTATGATTCCCTTTCAGTGATTTGAATCACTGATACTATTTGCAATTTAATAATTTATACACTTAGTCCCTCCTTAAAAATAAGGCAATTTTTCAAAACTTTATCGAATAGAATTTTGGATATCAAAAAATAATTACGAAACTATGCATAAGCACTGAAAATGTTATTAATTGTTTTAAAAAATAAGAAACAGAGGTTTGAAAGAACTAATGCCATTAGAAAATTTCTGAAGTTTTGAATAGTCAAAGAAGAGGGGGGGGGGGCACGTGCTTCTTTACTCAATATTATCCACATGACCCAACCAGTTTGGTTTGGGTCGAGCCTAAATTTCAGACATTTGATGTCCGACAAAAAAATATTATTTTTGAATTTAGTTGCTTACTGGCTTAGATATTTGTAATTTCCAAAAATACATACGTTTAAGATATATTATGAACAATGCTATAAAAATTTGTCTAATGCTTCATTTTCTATGAATTTTTAACAAAGAACTATTCTAGAAAATAGGCTATCTAAAACGACAGTCAAATTTTTTTTTTATATTTTACCAATTTACAATATTGTAAAATGGTTTCAAAGCACAGAATTTTAAAAAAAATCCATTTTATGATAATTTTGGAAGATATCTTGGAAAATTTTGTAAATTTCCTAGTGGACATTGTTTCGTGTTTTCAAAGAGAAATGTCTGGTCTGTTATTTTCAGGCCTATCCATTTTTGAAATTACTCAGTACTTAAAAAATAATTAATACTACCACTTATGAAGATTGCATTCATGATTCAGTGGGCAGGAATAATCATTGATAAAAAAGCAGATTTAGTATTTAGGAATAATCATTAAAAAAAACAGATTCAATATGTTTTTTCTTACGGATTATTCCTACAATCTCGAGATGAACGATTACTCTTGATGATTTTTGGCTTTTCAAAAAGTGAATATTTTTTAAGTTGTTCGGCTTATAACGAAATTTTTAAGTTTGTGAATCTTTATTATTTGTTTGTTATACAAAGAAAGTCTATGAAACAGTTTTTGAGTTATGATAACTTAAATCTAAAAAGTTTGCACTCGGTAGTAAAAAAAAAAATTATGTAAAATTGTTACCTAATAATGATTTTTTAGTTTAAGATATCTATAGGTCTAAATTTTAATTCAATCTATTAAAACGTGTGCAAGATATGTGCAGGAATAAATGTTATTCACCAATAATGATAAATTTTAATTTATTTAATGATTTCAGTTTCAAAAATTCCCCGAATTTTAAAATCACCCAGTTTCTTTAACCATTTGTTTTATTTCTCTTGTAAATGTAAATTACCTAGGAATTTTTAACCGAAGATGTTAAGTAGTTATATAACTTATTAGTACTAAAAATTAAAAGCATAAAATTTCAAAAGCTACATTTTAGTTCAATGCATTCAGTATTTTTTTGTAAGATTAAGCCTACATATCTGAATCAAAAGTTAAATTAAAAGATTTTCAAGGAATTTCCTACATTTTTATAAGTTATTTTTATACAGAGCAGCTCTACTCTAAATATAAATTTTTAGAGTCATGATCAGAAATAAAATCAAAATGTTATACTAATTAGGACTCTCAAATTATTGGTGAAGTTTAAAAGCAAAAACCTAATTAATACCTGACGAGTTATTAACAAGGAAGATTAAAAACTTTTAAAATCTGATATCCGGAGTTAACTATAAGAGGGGTAAAGGCCGATTAGTAGAAATATTTTCCAGGCAAACGGCAAACAAGCTGGTTTTGAAATGTTTAATAGTGCCTTCTTTAAAGTTTCATATAACATGTTTTTATTTTGTTTAATTAGTAATTAATAAATCCCATTTTGTTAGTTCATTTTTGACAAAGATTCTAAAAATATTTATTACAGATTAGTGATTACTGAACACATTCTTTATTAATCCAAACAAAAATGTAATTGGATATTCAGTTAAATAACTTTATCAAATTTTTTTTTTCATATACGTAAATGGACAAATTATATTAAATAATAAAAAACATAAATATCATAAGTATTATTAAACATATCAGTAAGTTTGTATACTTATGTTTCTTATTGAATAACATGGTGAGGGGAAGAAACAGGAAATATTTCAGAAATTTTATTAACATCGAAAACTACAAAAGTTTATAAAAAGACTATTTTTATAATTAAAATTAAAATTAATTAATTTTTAAAAATCTCTTACGTGCTATCGTGCGACGTTTTATCTAGTCAGCTGAATAACTCATTAACATATTCATAATGGTATAGAATTTTTTGGAGTTCCAAAAATTTATTAAGATCAAATTCTTAGGACATCTATATAATTTAGAAGATTTTCGATTTTATAATTTAAAATTTAAACACATATTAATAAAGTCTTGCGCTAATTAGTATCAGAAAATTTGTAAGCATTTATATTTGCTAAGTTTTATACTGGAAAATAATTGAAATGTTTACATCGAATCAAAATGATTCTTTAAGAAATTCGAAGCGAAAATATATCCTTACCTTTGTATTCTTTTTCCCCATTGCTGCTTCTCTTTCCTATCTTCAGTAAACGTGACGTCACATTTTCTAAAGCGCCCCCTACACTTATCATTGATTGAGAACAGCAACAAAGGCTGTATTAAAGAGCCGCATAATTGGAATCATAAATTATGTCTGCATGGGTCGGATTTTATAGCAAACGGGAGTTCAAATGTATTTTTGCATCATATATTATATACCATTTCCAAAAATACGAATTTATTACGAAGTAACAAACAAAGCCTTCGAAAGGGTGAAGAAATTGGGGCATTTGCTCAGGGTCTCACTAAGAACGAAGTACAGTGGTCAGAACTTTGAAAACGCTGGCCAATACTCAAAAAATTAAATCGCTCATAAGTACTAATCATTAAAGTTTTTTAATCAATGCAAGTAAGAAGAATAAAGTAATTCATTAACACAATATTCTAATTATTATTATTGTATTATCCATGCAAAATGGTTAAAAGTTTCTTGCATCTGGATCGCGACTTTTTGTTATATTTTTCTATTTGGTGTTATTTCAGAAATAATAATACTTTTATTATTGATTTCTCATGTTTTTAGTAGTTTAAAACATCGATAATGTTTTTCTTGTTTCTTACATTGTCCCTGTAAATAATTTGAATACTTCAGTAGTTTAAAGATTTTATGAAAAATTGAATATTTCATAAAAAATTTTCTTGCAGGTGTTTTCAAGCTAACAAAATACTGGGCAGGAGTGATAACCACAATTTATTTTATTTTATAACCGTCGTTGAACAGCCGACCCAATTTCGGTTTTACGACTACTAATGTTCAACGAAGTAGCCTCGTAATTTTTAACCCAATCCAGAAGACAAGGGAACTCCAGGATCAAGTATTGGGAGATATTTTGCCTCCTTGGGGGACTTTTTGATGGAACTAACCCGCTTTAGCTTTACATGGAGAGGAAAACCACGAAGACGTCCCACGCCTAGCCTGATGGCAAGGGGACTCTAACCCATGAGATCCGTCTACCACTGAGGATATTTTACGTCAGCACTGTGGTCGGTGCTAACTGGGGGTGGAATTCGAATCAATCAGCCATCGCCGGGATTCAAACCCGGTTTATCTCATTGGGAGGCTCTATCTCATGAGCCACCACTGCTCGGTAACCACAGTTCGAAAAATATGGCGTCAGTAGTTAAATCAGGAGAGCGATCGAAGGATTGGTTCCCATAATATTAAAATCTCGTGAACTTTTTAAGCCAATCCATAAATTTTTGCTCACAATTATGAAACTCGTTTATCTAAAGATAATTCCATGTCAATGTTAGTAATTATTTATTTTATCTAATAATAGTCTAAAAATAATTTGAATTGTAAAGAGTGCAAATTTTTACACGCGTTTACAGAATGTAATTTTTTATTACAAAATACAAAATGTGAACGGAGTCGGTGGAATAGTTTCTAAAAAACAGAATTTTAAATATACGACTTTTTAAAATTCTAATTCTCAGGAACTATTCGACCCATTTCGTTCGCCTTTTTTATTCTGCAATAAAAAATTAAATTATTTAAAATAGTGTAAGAATTTGCATAATTTAAAAATTTTGTATCTGTAATTTAAAAAAAATTTCGTTAATAATTAATTAAGGTAATAAAGAGTAACAAATAATTATTTACTTGCATCCTTCGATAAACGATAGTTAAATGTTTCGATTAGCTTAGAAAGTTATACGCGCAAAAAGTAGAAACCGTTCTCTTGACCAAACTATCATATTTCCCTGATCCATTTTAATAACTTCATTAATAGGATAAAAGAGAGGAAAAACAGAGATGGAAAGAGATCCTACTAAAGAGATACAGTTAAAATATAAAATGGCGGAAGAAAAAAATAATAATTTTTAAATATCGTGTAGCAGCAAGGTCATTAATAATAGTTATTCATGATCTTGGAACTCCTTCAAAAATACAGGTCAACACATGAAATACGTATATGGATGATACAAGGACCTTTTGCCCAGCAATGTTTGGAGATGAATAAACGGTGTAGGTAGGTATTTTATTTACCTCGCACTAGAGCAGCACGATGGGCTATTGGCGACGGTCTGGGAAACATCCCTGAGGCTGATCCGAAGACATGCCATCACAATTTTGATCCTCTGCAGAGGGCACCCCCACTGTGGTATCCCGACGACGTGCATGCGAAGTCGAGCACTTTACGGTAGAACAGTTTGACGAGGACCGCGCACCCTCGATCCCTACGCAGACTGATCAAAGTGGTCACCCACCCGCTTATTGACCGCAGACAGTGATGCTTGGCTTCGATGGGAACCGTGTCTTTACTGTCAGTAAATTGCGGGACGAATAGACGGTGTAGTTCATGTTTTTTTAAAAAAATAGATCCGATGCTTTTTGAGCCAATATTTGAGCGCATGTTTAGTTTGTTCTATGCATGAAAATCCACATTGGCATACAATTTGGCATATTCCCCAGCTAATGCATTCAATTGTTTTTGAGGTTCGAAAATTAGAAAACCAATTATCTAAAGTAAAATATCATCTTTGTGAAAGGGATTATCTTAGAGTCTCAAATCCAAATTATCTTTATTATCCTTTCTCCGAACATCAAAATCACTTTCTCGAACTCCAAACAACTCATTGAATGCGTCAACGACCAGAAATTATGCAAAATTTCATTTCAAATTGGTTTGCCATACATAAGACAACCTAACCGAACATCTAAACATAGGCTCAAGGAACATCAAGGCAACGCCAAGAACCAAGAACTTCACTATTCATACATCGCTAACATTCTTAGACAGAAGGCTATAGGTTTGATATTTCTTCACCGCATGTTTCATTTGCCGACCTGGATTTTTGAAAGCGTCTCTACATCAAAAATAAAACCTCTTTATTAACTTTTGCTGTTGCATCATTTTCGTAAAAATTTGGAAATCTTTAATTTTTTTTAATCCTCTCTCATTTTATCTTTTAACCGTATCTTTATCTCTTGTAGGACGTTACCTCTGTCGGATTAATTCCTGCTTTTTATCATTTATCCTTAAGATGAAAGTATACCGTTGTGACACCTGTATAGGTTTTTAATAAAATTTTACCATTTGTGATTTTAAACGTTGTTTTCAATGAAATTCAGTATTTGCTGTCCTTCTTAAGATTTTTTTTGGGATAATAATGTTCCATTTTATTTATTTATTTATTTTTTTGATCAAAAAGTTTCCAGGGCTACCAGAATTCCCCTCGAACCTCCTTCATACAATCAGGCATTCTCATTTAGATTTAGCATTTGGTTATAAAAATTAGTGTACTATTTGTAATTGTGAATATATTGTGTGATTTGTTATGAAATAATACAAAATATAATTTAATTAGTATATTTTTAAAGCTCTTTATACGTGTGAGTTTAAAATGAAGCTCTAAAGTTATGTAAAACATTAAAAAAAAACTAGTTGTTTCAATTTCTTAAGATATTCATTAAACTTATTTTTCTTCCTAATTTTCGCTTTCTGATTTTTACTTTTTTATTTTCACTTATTTAAAAATGACTTATGAAGTGTCTTGGAACTATTGTTAAGCTAGATTGAATTATAAATTGTTTAAAAATTTAGTACTTCCAACTTGCCATTCCTTGTTTTAGCGTGGCTCTTTAATAATGTTTGGTGCCGCAACGAGTTTAGAAACTGCTACTTTAAAGTGCAACTTTTTCTTATTTTTATAACCGTTGTTGAACCGCCAACCGAATTTTCAGTTTACGGCTACTAATGTTCAACTCCGTAGACTTGTAATTTTGAATCCGATCCGGAAGGCAAGGGAACTCCTGGTTCAAGTGTAGGGAGAAATTTACCTTCGTGGAGAACTTTTTAATGGAACTAATTCGAAAAAACAAGCTTCGCCGGGATTCGAACCCTGTTCACATCATTGGGAGGCTAGCGCTCTATCCCCTGAGCCACGAATACAATAGTGAGTTCGAAGATAAACTGATGAAAACAAAAGGAGGAACGGTTGTTCTTTTTTTAAAAAAGGTACAAAATTAGTAACGCTTATTTGGAAATAAGGTATCAGATGATAGTTAAGCTCTTGATGAACACACCTGTCACGCATGGGTATGCTACATCGCATGGCAGGGGTGCTGTGATCACATTTGTGTAGAGTTCCTTTGAGTTCCGGAAGTGTGGTGTCTACTCTGTGTAGAGAGAAAGAAGGAGTGGTTGGCTGACTTGATCAACGCTACAAAAGGGCAACAATATCGGCTGTTATCTGAGACATCTAGCCAAAAGGGATAGGTCGAGACAGCGACACAATTTTCTCTCTACCTGCATATTGCAACAGGCACATTCATTTCACTGACAACAGTCGCCCAAAGACTTGAAGCAGGTAGTCTGCATGCTAGGCGCCCTGTAGCCTGCCTCCCTTTGACTGTCAACCACGAAAAGGACCGTTTAGCATGGTGGCGAGAACACCTGTCTTCGACAGAAGCTTATTGAGGGCGGACTCTCTTCAGCGATGAGTCGCGATACAGGCTGAACAGCATCTCGAAACTTATTCTCACCAGGAGAGAATCCGGGAGTCTATAGCGGCCCTCTAGCATTCCCAAAAAGAATTACTATGGTCGAGGTTTTCTGATGGTTTGGACAATAGAAGTACTCTGACATGTCAGCTGTACAGGACGAGATTCTATGTGAGACTTTTCTGAGGATAGTATGAACCAAATTTCATCATTATGGACGCTCGTCTACGCAGGGCTCTGATTTTAAACGAATATATCCAATCGGATGATATTCAACGATTGAAGTTGCATGCAATGTCCTTAGACCTTAATTACCTCGATCACGTATGGTACGTTCATGGATGCTCAATTGCAGATCGAAGACCAGCTTAAACCACAATCCTTGAGCTCCAGGGTGCCTTGGAGCAAAAGTGGGTGTGGTTGCCATAGGGATTGATAAGGACCCTGGTCTACGGTAATTTGTTTCATTTACTTTGTCAGTTTTTTTAATTGTAAAAGAAACACATTTGCCTCTTCAATTGCTTTCACCACTGTAATGACAAATTTTCAAATATTATTATAGACAAAGAAGAGGATTGAGATAGAGACCATAATATAGTAAGCATTCAATTTTGATTTTGATGGGATATCAACGTAGATTAGTTTTTTTTAAAAATAAAGTGGTAGCTTTTAAGAGAAGTTATTCATTTTTCTTAAATGTTCTATCACATTTTATTTATGAAGGCAATATTCATATCTAAAAAATTCATGTGATAACACATTGACGATTGAGGACCACAGTGACGATTGTCATATTGAAACCCTGAACAAAGTTTCTAATTACAAGACGCTATTTTAAGGACATTGATATCTTAAGGGTATTTTTCGCTATTTTTAAGGATTTTTACAAGGAATTTTCAGGTCGTGAGAATACGGGCTCAAGTGATTACTGGTTGTTTCAAAAGAGAGTAGTCAAAATAAAAAGGTAAATTAAGCATACGAATTGAATATAATATCTCTAAGAAACATGAGGTCGTAAACTATATTCAAAGCCGCTAGAGCTGCAAATTATAGGTAATATAGAAAGGCAATAAACAAAAATCATTTTAATTTCGCCGCTTTTCTTCAATTCACACATTTATGACCAATACTACAAAAGATGCTCAAAGTTTTTGCCTGATTTGTCATAACAGTATAGGTTTAAGATATATCTTGTATGTTTGGAGGATTCCATGCAGTGTAAATGAATCATCTTCTATAGTAATATTTATCGTGAATGTTTAATATGTGAAGAAATACAGTAAAAATAAAATAATACAGAATGTTTATTGCCCTTGCATACAAGTGTTTAGAAGTGAGAGACTATGTTCGTGAGAGACAGCATAATAAATTTCTATGACTATCAAAACATTTGTAAAATCAACGTGATATATGGTAAGTATAACACAAATGGAGCTATCTTTGATGAATTAATAAAAAAAAAACTACAAAAAATATGTAACTTTTATTATAAAATGAGAAAAATGATAGGCTTAAAATTTATAATGAAAGTTAAGAAATTGTAGTGGAATATAAAACAAGCATTGTGAGACCAGAAATGACACCAGTAAATGGTAAAGTTACCAACCAAGCTAAAATAATATTTTTGAACAATTTAAAATCAACATCATTTGTACTACGGGTCATCCCAACAAATACAATTGAGCCAACTTTGCAGTGAGTCGTACTGATTGGAATTCCTATTTTAGAAGCCAACAAGACAGTTGTTGTAGCTCCAATTTCAATAGTAAAGCCACTGTAAAATAAATAGATTAAATTATTAACAGGGGATAAAATACGACTTCTTTTATTTTTTGGTAAGACAGTTAGAACTTTAATGGAAATATTTATACTTTATAATCTTAACCATTTTTCATTAAAAATAGTCTTAGTGTAATGTGTAATAATTCTAACAACCTAAAGACTAGCTTTGCTTATATACTTGCATGAAAGCAGTTGTGCTAGCTTAAGATAATAAGTCATTTGCAAAATTAGCCATTTATATACTTTTATAATTAGATTTTTGAAGGCCGGGATAGCCTGGATGGCAGGGCGCTGGACTCACGTTTGTGAGAACTAGAGTTCGAATCTCGCCGGTCGAATATTCCCCGTGTAGTAAATGGTGACTGGTGCACTTTAAATTTGTCAGGTCACAAAATCCTTCATGTTTCCATACCAAATCAATGTGTCTGGGGGTACTGAATTGGAGATTGATCGTTGAACATTAGTAGTCTTAAAACCAAAAATTGAGTCGGCTGTTCAACGATGGTTATTAAAAAAAGCAACAACCTGCAATCAAACAAGCTTTGGTGTTTTGAACACTCGCCTTCCTTAAGTGCGATTCGTAAGGTTTGTTTCGATAGTATTTTTTCTTATTTAAATATTAATGGAGATCCATAGTTTGTTTATTTTTATAAGGATTCTGCAATGTACATTAAAGGTAGTTTTTACAAAACACTATGTATAAAATATTAAAGAGAGTCATTTACAAGACCATGTTTATATTTACGCATCAAGGTAGCCATCTTTGAAAATATGCTGATTCATTTAAGGAATAATTCATTTTTCATTCATCAAAGGTCATTTTTTGTACTGTCAACTTCGCTAGATTTTCTATGAAAATGTATAAGATAAGGAAAAATTTTGGTTTCCTACTAGTTGATTAAAAGAATAATCACAGTCTTAGTGCAATTTGTTTGACAATAATCCAAAATCAACATTTGCAGTCAATAATGGGGTGAAAAGAAAAAGCAATATTTGGGTCATTCTTACCTTAATGGAGTTATTTTTGTAAGATCTTGTCCCATAGTTTGAATGACTTTTCTTCCCATAACCCATAATCCGATACTAATTCCAAATCCACCGTAAATAAGCAACCACGCGGGTGTTGAGCCATTTGTATCTTTGGTATAAAGTAGCCACAGACTGATCAAGGGTGCAATAGCATTACTGAAAGAAATCTAGAATAAGTTTGAAGCTTACAACAACAGTAAAAATAGCGTTAATGTGACAAACATGGTTCATTAGGGGATATTTCCGTATCGTGATCTGTCGCGTCAATTACCATCGCAAGGTGCCAAATAGATTTTTTTTGGTTATTAGCGGGCACTTGGGTCTATTTCCAATTGGCCTCAGAAATGCTACCCAGTGAGCACCTATGGCCAAGCCACGGCGGTGGAGCAGCGTCGCCCACGTCACACAACCACAAACCCGTTTAAAGGGCGGGTCACATTCATACAATCACACAAAAGAAAGGACATAGAACACACAGAGAGAGAAAGAAACATCCATGTCCTGAGCGGGATTCGAACCCGCAACCATCAGCTCCGCAGTCAGGCGCGCTAACCACTCGGCCACCTGGTTGGCGCCAAATAGATTTTAAACTTGCAATTTTTGTAAAAAAAAAGGAAAAAAAACACGTAACAACAGGTGAACAAAACAATTTGCGTAGGGATGGCTGAGAGTTATACATTTCAAGTTGGTTCCGTTCTGAGTTTTTTTTTTTTTTTTTTTTTTAAAGTTTCTTTCGGGCCTCTGCCCGAAGTTGCCAAGATTTGGCAATTATTTTGCTACAGTTCACGATACGGAAATCTCCCTGTTCATTATGCATCATGTAGTACCGAAACGCTTTTATAAATATTCTGCTGATGAAGATGCACCGTGTCAAAACGCGTCTAGGTTTTAATAAATATACTATTTGTACTCTTAACATCATTACCTAATAGTATAAAATAAATAACTTGACAGAATATTTACCTAACATCATTTCCTCCATGTGCAAATGATCCGAAAATAGCTGTCATTATTTGCAAGCCTTTGAAAAGTTTTCTTACTTCAGGATGGTCGTCGTCTGTCAACTGTGTAAAATTGCATTATGGGTAGAGTTTCGTTAAATTGTGTTTATAGAGATGTGGGTTTTCCGGAAAATTTTAAAACAGATATTTCAAATACATTTTCAGGATAATTTTCTAAGCTTTTAAATCAACTGTAAAATTACTCTCATTCATTAGAGGTTATAAGTAAAGAAAACTGGAGTCATGAACACTGAATGTGATGCTTTTTAGAGTTCCTCCCATTCCTACAAGGGAAAAAATATTAACAACGCATAGAAATCGCGATTTGAAATTTTTTAATCGCGTTTAAATCTGAAAACTTAAAATATAATAATTCTTTATTAACTATTATGCAGTAATTAATGTTACAGTAATTAAAAAATATCACATTGGGCAACTAAATTGAATTTATCAGCATACGTAATTGATCTATGAATATCTAATGTGTACAAAATGGAAACAAATTATGTACAGAATTAATTGTATGTTTCTCAACAAAAAAAAATGAATATTGGTCAAAATATTCTGTTTATTAAACTGATCTATGAATATCTGAAATGGAAACACAAAATGTTCTAAAATAACTGCATATTTCTCTTCATAAAGTAAAATGAAAGCAAACTTCTTTTTTTTAAATTTCTGCTGACACATTTCAAGAAAAGATAAAAATGCGATATGGTAAATTTATAGAATGAAGAATTTGTGGTAAAAAAACAAACAAAATAATGCGATCTTGATTGCAGTTTTTTCTACTAACACTTTTCCAATAGTGTTAACACCAAGAGTAAATGATGTCCTAGTTTTCAAGGTCACACTCTCAGAACTGGTAAGAATAGGGTTAAATAAATTAGACTAAGAAACGATTCTATGTACCTTTGCTAGATCATGCTCAGAATCAGAATTTTAAAGATTGACATTGTCATCGCTAATCACATTACAGAATAGAATTTTTTTTTCATTCCTATCTAAAGCCATTCCATTTATAACTGTAGCAGCCTCACTATTTTGTTTATCAAATAAAAGAAATGGGTGATTCTTTTTCTGCTATTTAATTATGAATTTCCTCGTTATGAGTTGCAAATGAAGCTAGGACAAATCTCAAGTAAAACAAAATCAAACTGAATTTTATTTATAGGGATTGCAAAGTCAGAATTACAAAAACACAAATAGATAGAAAATATGAGAAATGCTAATATGTCCTATAAAAATGTACCAAAAAATATTGCCTATTTGACTTTTAAAATTTTCCGGAAAAGCAGTGGAAAATTTCCCTTCCCACATCTCTGTGCGTATATGTAATTAATAAAAACTATAACTGACCATTAAATTTTCATCTTTCGAAATAGGGTTTTCTAATGATATTTCTTCATGGGCTTGTTCAATAGGAACTAGAATATAGAGAAAAAAAACAATGTTCAAAATTAGGAACAAGAATATTGGCGGGCGGGGGGGGAGGAATAGGAAAAAGAATCATTCACAGAAAATAATTCAATCAAGATTTGAAATGCAATTACATTGAAAGTTAATATACATAAAAGTTTAAAATACATAAATATCATTTGCATCGTACAGAATAGTTAATTCAATAAAAACGAAATAATTAATGTATAAACATAGCGTAATAAGTAAACCAACATAAGCAATCAATAATTAAATTTATCGTAAAAAATTTAAAATCAAATTTAATTTTTTATAGTAAATGCAATTTAATAGAAAAGAACAACATCCCTCTTATAAATGGAAGAAATAGACCGAATAGACCTTATAGACCGAAGAAATATCTTTTCAATAAAAATTCAAATTGTGAAATTTTTTTTTTGGGATTTTTATTTTTAAAACTGACAAATCTAATAACTAGCGTGCGAGTTGCATTCCTTTTAAATGTTTTTAAGTATGCACTAATGATCTTCCTTATAAGCTAAATGAAACAAAATGAAAATTTAGCTATAATGAGATTGCTTCCATTAGAAAGCTTGAAGCAATATAGTAATAATCACATTTTTCAAAAAGCGACGTTTTGAATTAAGCTGTTTCTTTGTTCTGCTTCCAGAAACACAGAAAGAGCTCATTGCTTACATGGTGGTATTTCTCTAAAAGCACTCTCCTAAACAATGTGGTTTAGAGTTATATTGCCCCAAACAATTATAATTTACCTTGTTTCTTTTTATTGCCGACAATCAAAAATTGAATGATGACTCCAACAATGATACCAACAGCAGCGGAAATGACAACAGCCAACCATGGTGGCAATCTATCCAGATACAAAACTGTAAATAACAAATCAATCAATGCTAATATGAAGCAAAAATCTAAACTGTTGTCTGAGTCAAAATAAATAAAACAAAACTGTTACTAATAAAAATACTGTTACTCGTGTTTAGGGGCAATAAATCGTGACTTTCCCAACAATATGAAAACTGTGGTGTACTATCTCTCTGAATTTGATGTTGAACATCCCAAAGAATTTACTTTTTAATTAACACCAAATCGAGCTTTCATATATAATTTAACGGGTGTAGTTAACTCTTATAATGGAAGAAGTTTACATGCATTCACTGGAGCGCGCATTCTCTGGGCATTGCAATTTTGATCTTCTGCAGAGAGGATGGCTCCCCTGCCTTGCAGTCAGACGACCTGTGCGCGAAGTCGAGCACTTTACGGTAGAGCAGTTTAACGAGGACCGATGCTGTGCACCCTCGGTCCCTACGCAGGTTGATCAAAGTGGTCACCCACCCGCTTACTGATCACAGCCAGTGATGCTTGACTTCGGTGTTCTACTGGGAACCGTGTCTTTACGATCAGTCAGTCCACTGCGGTACCAATAAGGAAGGTTAAATTATTTTCTAACCGTTTACATATATATTAAAAAATTAGCTTGGTTTATGAGTGGTACTTCTGGTAACTTCCCCGTTAATCGTATAATTTGCTAAATGGTTTGCATATGATATTTAAATACATTTTATTTGAAAAGATACCTGGAGAACCATCAAGAACGATTGAGAGAACATTGATGAAGACAGAAATAATATAAATGAAGGCCACACCAACTTGGCTAGGCTTATCCTGAAATAAGAATTTATTAATGTAGCAATTAAGAGTTGATTCACAATTCAATGAAATACAAGTACTTAATTAAATGCTAAATACCGATCATGATTTATGAAATTGAAATAAAACGCTATTTTCAGACCGTTCTTTTGGCAGACGTTATAGCCAAACGATACGAACTGAAAGAAATGATCCCAACAGTTTCCGGTCGAAAATTTTACATATTTCGCTAAATCTCGCAAACTAATTGTAACAATTATAAAAATCTGCGTAACCATCTAAAAAAATGACTTGTATACATGAAGATAATTTTGCAAAAAATATTATTTATGAATCTTTTATTTATATTAATAATAATTGAATTTTTTTTTTAAATATCCTCTTAGCCGTTTGAAGCAGATGGAACACCGGGGTCCTTTTTATACTTCTTTTTTTAACGCTCTAATTACAAAAGAAAAAATATATTTTGGTATTTTTTAATGATAAAAAGCAGTCTAAAAATCTCTTAGATTATTGGAATTAATTTTTATTGACATATAAAATCTTAAAAAAGGAGTTTCAAATTTTTTTCAGTCATATTCAAAAATTAATCAATAATTTATTTTGTAAATTAAAGAAATTTCAATAACGAATAACTATTTATGTTAGATCAAAATTATTGTAAATAAGAGCAAATTTGTAAAATTATTGTTTGGAAGTGAGCCGTGAATGGAAGATTTTACCTCTAGAGCAGAAAAAAACATCGGTATTTCATGCAGTATTTTATAACCATAAATTATTAAAATGCTAAATATTCTATTTTTTACTTATTTTGACCTAAATTATTAAAAAATGATAAAAAAAAATTATGAAAGTATGTGTAATTAAAATTCTGTGTCAAAGGCATAAGTCATTTAATTTTAAATTTCAAAATTTAAAATTTGAATTAAATCTATTGAACAAATCTTCAAAATCTTCATACTTCACATTTTGAATCAAATTAATATTTTTGCTTAAAGTTTACATTTTATCATTTAAAATTTTCATTCAAAAAACTTTATAATTTTTCAATGCATCAAAAGTACTTCGGGATTTTTCTTGTTTTGAAATTCAAAATATTTTCAGTAGTCATTAAATTAAATAAACAAAAAATAAAAAAAAATTTGAATTTTAAATTTACATGAATTACATTCAGATGAAGGATTTTTATTTATTAATGATTTTCAGTTAGTTCCAAAGATATTGTGAAGCATACAGAAAATAAAAATAACAATTATAAAGTAACTTAGAGCCCAAATGTTTTAGCCATTTAATGGCGTTCAAAAGTTTAATTCCGTTGGAGAAAAAAAGCTATATTTTTTGCATAGAAAATGTGTGTCTGTGACTTTATAATTTAACCCTTTACAAGGCCGTGATAAGTATCTCCAATTTTACAGATGCTTTATTTAGAATATTTGGCTAGGAAAAAGAGAATCACTTTTAAGGGAAGGGGGGACTGATATCATATTGAAAATATATTGTTTGCCTGGTGTTGTATCTTGTAAGCACTTCTGATTTCACCGGCAATCAAACATGTTTTCATGTTTCAATCCCGCTTTCCCTGTAGTCAAAAGCTATATTTTGATACTTTGAAACGTTATATTTTGGGATTTTTTGTGTGCTTAAAATATTAGTTTTTGACCAATGATAAGTATACTTTTTTTAATTTATTTTTGACAAAATTTTTAAAAATATATAATTAAGGCAGTGATTACGAAGCACATTAGGTGTAACTTTACGATATAATAACGAATAGTTTTTGTCATCTACATTCAATAAAAATTGTTATAAAGGTAAAAAAGAAGTCATTTAAGTTTTTATTATTTATTTTTACTACAGTTATTGCAGAGAGGCCAAATTGCTCCGATTTTTAAAAAAATATTTTCTAGTGGTAACGAAATTTAAGTTATTTTTAGTTTAGTATTTGTCATTTTAAGTAATTTTTCCACCTCCAAATATTAAAAACTCGAAGTGTGACATGAAATTCAACTTTATTGCATTTATCTCGTGGTTGCTCTTATAAAGAGTAGGAGTAATTATCCGTATTCTGGAAATTTTACTTTTTAATTCACTACCAATTTATTGAAACTTTTGCAGAAAGCGGAACAATTGGTATCCCTGCAATTGTATTTTTAGTATTATTTTATTACAAATGCTATGAATATCCTTATTAGAAAACAATTAAAGGAGAAAAAAAATATCTTCATCCAGCCTTTCTTTATGCTACAAATATTAAGAAGTTCTTAAATAAAATTTATGAGACTTTTTACATTTTGCTCGAATTTTTGTTAAGGTATTAAAGAATTTTCTACAAAAAATTAAATCAAAGCTATCTTTATTATATTTTTTATGTTATTATATTTATTATCTATCTTTATATTGATTATGTCAGTCGACTACGGAGATCATACCTGTTATATAACTTCTTACTTTGCTTAAGATGAACTTTCGAATGAGTAGAAAAATTATTACAGAGACAACACCAGAGAGAACAGGAGACAAAAACCAAGAGGAAACTAAAAAGAAAAAGATTTTACTAGCAGAGAAAACTAATACTGCCGTGCAATACAAAAATCAACTTAAAGGACAAAAAATTTAAATTTTAATGTATTTATAATTTTTATATGACAAGCTACATATCACAAAAAGATTACTTTTTCAAAAAAAAAATTTTTTTTTTCTTTTTTGCTAGTTATCTGAAATTCTATTTTAGCGTTGATAGCATTCATAAAGGAAATAACTATTTTAAATTTTGAGTTAAAAAGTTTATCAGCGAATTTTTCCTTAAAATATAACAATGTGCATAATGTTATAGACATGCAGTCCCTGGCCAAATTATTAGACGCACTGTAGTTTTTTACTATTAATTGCGTGTTTTGAACGAATTAATATGCAATACTTTTATAATGAGACATACACCGAAGAGCCATTACATTATGACCACCCTTCATCTATAACAATGGGATCTCCCAGGTTTTCATGGTTTCTGGCCCAGGAACAGTGTTTTCATGGGGCACATTAGGACCCATAATCCTCATAGAACAATCCCTGACGTCTGTAAGCTACTTGAACATAGTTGCAGACCAGGTTCACCCATTCATGGCAACAGTTTTTCCTGCGGGGGATGGTGTTTACCAACAGGATAATGCACCATGTCATAAGGGTCGAATCGTCATGGATTGGTTCGAGGAACATTCCAGTGACTTTCAAGTCATGTCTTGGCCCCCAAATTCACCTGACCTTAATCCAATAGAGCATTTGTGGTCCTACTTGGAAAACCAAATTCGTGCTGCCACGCTACCCCCTCGCAATGTGAGGGAATTGCAGGACCAGTTGGTGAGCGCTTGGTACCAGATACCTCAGACTACCTATCTGCACCTTGTAGAATCAATGCCAAGGCGGGTGCTAGCAGTTTTGAGAGCTAAAGGTGGTCCTACATGTTATTAGCAGGGTGGTCATAATGTAATGGCTCCTTGGTGTACACGTAATGGGTTTTTATTCAGGAGATTTTAATATACTTTCTATCTGTATTTATTTTTAATGTTATGTATTACAATATTAACCAATTGATACACGAACGTAAACAAGTGCAAACCGGTTTCTGTCGCATTCTCGCATGCGTTAGTTGCGGACTTGTTTGTGTGGCTTTACGCCCTGCGTTTCTTTGTTTCGCAGTTTTATACTACGCAGTTATTTGCTTGTTTTGTGTGCAGTGTTTAAATAATCAATAGGGACATTTTCATCATGGGTAAAAAAAGGCAATCTTTCACCATGTAAAAAAGCCCTCGTGAATGCTAAAATATTTTCAAACCGTGAAATATCACGAAAATTGAAGGTTTCTGAAGTAGTACATAAAGTGAGTCAGGTGACGAATTGAGCCTGAAACGAAAGAAAGTCTTATAGTGCGTCGACAAAGTGAAGAATATAAATATTGAAGAGAAACGATGTAGCAACACTTTTTCAGAGTTATAAATAAACCCCTAACTGACCAATGTCACCATGCGACGCACATGATGACTTATTATTTTGTCACACTTATGGTTGTCATTTAAATTAATTGTAACTTATTATATAATAATAGTTAATATTACTATTAACGATTAGATGCAAACTTGAAATATTTTGAATGTAGTGAATATAATATAGAATGAAATATAATGAACTATTAAGTGTTAAAGTAAGAGAATTTTAGAACTGATAAACAAGTTCACGCGAGAGCATTTTATCTGAAGTTTGCTAAGATGAATGCTTCTAGGACGAAAAAAAGCACGATTTTTATTTGCATCTATCGTCAAATGCTTTTTTTTTTAAATTTTCTTAATGACCGCCGTTGAACAGCCGACCCAATTTTTGGGTTTACGACTACTAATGCTCATCGCCGTTGCCTTGTAATTTTGAACCAATCCAGAAGACAAGGAAACTCCTGGATCAGTACCCCCAGAGGTATTGATTTGTTATGGGAACGTGGAGGACTTTGAGACTCGACAGATTTAACGTGCATCAGTCACCATTTACTACACGGGGAGTCTTCGACCGGCGGGGACCGAACCCACGAATTCTTGGACATGTGCCTGGCACCCCACCGACCAGGCTATCCCGGCCTAGTAGCGACAATTTATCAGAATTATTGTTGCACCGCACCTGTGGACCTACTACAAGGGGAGTATTAGTTGATTATAGCAGTAAATTGAAATCATTTGTCATAATTGGATGTTAATCTGTCGTCAAATGTTTGTTGTTTATAGCGAGTAGCACAAACGCCTGTGAACAATATTTTCATGAAAAGCGTGTACTAATATTAGATGTAAGGCTCATGAAGACCAAGCAAATGTCATTATCTCCGTAGAATTCATCGATGGTGCTGATAAAATTATTCGAAATGATCAAGGAGTTTTGTAACATCTATAATAAAACGCATTCTTCTTGGCTTGAATTTGCATTTACTTTTAATGCTCTCGTGTGAACAGGAAATGTGGTGTTCTTCTCATGCCTTCCTTTACAACCCTAAATCATGCTTGACGCTATAACACTTGTTGACGATTCACGTAGGTAATCCTTATGCAATGAGCCGCGATGGCTCAGCGGTTAAGGCACTAAACAACATCCAGCTTCAGATCAATGGGTACCAGCTTGTCAAGGAAGTAAAGGCAGCAATTCTGACCACATTGACATAAATTATGACGTTGTGCACGAAATTGTAGAGCCTCTATCATCTTCCTTTCTCACGACGGGCTGTTGTGGGAATGAAAATCCCCTTACAATGGCTGTCTAGACTCGATGATTTATTTCTTTATTAAATACAACGTGTTTGATTAATGATAATAGATTCAAAACGAGATAGATTAAACTTACCTATGAAGCCTAAGGTTTTCCATTGAATACCTCTAAATCCTTTAACCACTAGAGTAAATCCTAGAACTGCTCCTACAATACTGTGAGTACCAGAAATAGGAAGACGTAGCAATGTTGCTATTATATTCCATGTAGCGCTTCCTGCAAACATTTTTCATATAGAAAAATAATTTGGTATACACGGATTTCATCACTATCTGTACTTTTTTTTTAATGGATACAATATCATTATTTAATAAATTTGATCACCTCGGCAGGAATCTTTTGTTGGAATGCTGGATAATCTTTCTTACCAGTGATGCGACACATTTCGATAGCTTTTTTTCATTGCTGAAATATTAGTTTACGAACCCCTCTACTTCTTCACTTCATTTTTGAAAATAAACTTAAAACGAAGCAATTGAAGGTCATTCTGTAATTATAGATTTGCTGTTGTTGTTGTTCATTTACGTCGCACTAGAGCTGCACAATGGGCTATTGGTGCAGGGCTAAAGAGAATACAAGGGCTAGTTCACTCCGCTCTTAGAGCTGAAGCTACGATTTCCCTCCTCATGACGTCACTGTGTCCACAGATTCCGGAGATCGCAAGCAAAGATATGATAGCTTTGCATCTTTCTCTTTGTAAAAATAAGTTAGACTTTTTCTGGTTATTAGCCTTCAAACTTTACGTAATTAACACATTATTTCCGTTCATAAACATAGTTTAAAAAAAACTTTCTTGGTTATTATATTTAAAAAATACTATTTTAAACTTATAAAAATGTTTTGCTAGTTGGTGAAAATGACACGATAAATACTTTATTTTAAAAAGTTCAGTTTTAACTTTAACTATTAAGAAAAATGAAGGCATATATCGACACTTTTTTTATCTACATATTCTTTTATAAAGATAAGTTAAGTT